ATTTCCGATTTACCTGCGAACTATTCTCGTTCAGGTTCGGTCTCCGTGACGTACTATGAATCAAAAGGCGGAATTTAAGATTAGGACTAAGATCGTAAAAGGTCAGGACCTTATCTACCGAAAAATAATTTATTCAGTTCCAGTCTTTACTCGGAAACCTGATTTTGGAGTATCCATTAAGTCCTGACCCTCGGATATCTCCAACAAGCCTCGAGTTGATGTGTTCGACCCCAGTTCTCCCGGGTCGGGTGCATCAGCGCGCTTTACAACTACACTTACCCACTACTTCATCCGACACTTGAGGAAATACATAATCGAAGATTCTTCCGCCAAGACGAACGTCTCTCTCAAAAACACACACTTTTGTTTCCTTCTTGTGTCTCAGCAGTGATTCCGCCATGTACAGTCCTGCCAGACCTCCACCGACTATAGCGACATCACAGTCCATTGGGGTCGCACCTAGGGAGGAAAACCCATCAGGAAATCGTGCTGTAATACGCACAGGCTGGCTTTCCTTTGCACATGTAACCACATTTATGGAAGGGCGTCCGATGATCCCTTTCATCCTCTCCAGTTAAAAAAATTGGTTTAAACTATTTTGAAAGTAACACTTACAGAGTCCGCAGGTCTTCTTGCAGGCTTGTTTGACATTCACATTTGTTGCGCAAAGCTTCTTGTAGTGTACACAGAAACTCTCACCGCTCAAGTCTTTGCATTCTAAAGAGCACGAAGTTAATGAACATGACGAATAATCAAAAACTAGTGATTGCGTTTAGAAAAGTTCGAAATGCAGAGTTGAAAATACTTTGTACGGGAGCAAGAGAAAATTCTCTTGGCGGGAAACATTTTCTTACCGCTTTTTATGTTTGGTTCTTTGAAAATAATGTATCACCTGAAAGAATTAGACATGAAACTAACTTAAACCAGACAGCTGTATTGGCCGCTGAAACTCTTCTATATTTAAGGCCGGATACGTTTTTCTTTGCTTTTAGCTCTACTTAGCTTCATAAGGCATTAATCTTTTTTTTTTCGCTGTGATGGCCATGTTTTTGTCGATATGATGACGTTCATTCGAAAAGCTTTCTACTTAAGATACTAAATTAAATATCTACCAAGATTTTGAGAACCGGGTCAACAAAAGGAGTTTTCCCCCTTCTCACACCAGATAATGTCTTAAGTCATCGCATAGTTTTTTTCTCTCTACCACTTAATGGCTCAGTTTCAGTTTATCATCTGTCCCATCTTTTGGAAAAAGCCAAAGAAGCAATAGGAGAGAAATTGAAGAGGTCAGTAAGACAGAAGGTCTAAATCTCGTAAAACTTACTAATTTCCAAAGCATTTTTTCCCGTGAATTTTGTCATTTCTTTCTTGCCAAAGTTTTACATCGTAGATAAACGTAAGATCGAAAAAACTTTCAATGTAATAAAAACTTTTTGATCTGATATTTAAAAAAACCACTTCATTTTTTAAAAAGTTTTCTTTAACTAAGCGTTGGTGGTATAGGGGTTATCATAGCTTCCTTCCAAGCAGTTGACCCGGGTTCGATTCCCGGCCAACGCACACACTTTTTAGTCGTTTAGTCGTTACGCTTCCTTGTCTCTCGCACGTACGTTGCAATTGTCGACGTCCATTGCTGGCCAAAAGTTTTAACAGGACTGGACAGTTATCTCGACATTCTACCCCTTTTTCGGCAAATTTTAGAGAACACATCTGTTCCAAAGGCTTAACCTGTATCTCTCGAAGTTGACAAATCATCAAGTTTATCCAGGTTTTTCTCCTATTTTTTTTAGCAATGTCAATTAACATTAACGAAAAACGGAGAAGCTGAGAAAATCATTTGTATCAGCTCAGATAGAGGTCATCTCGTTGACGAATGTTTCCATAAGCTGGCGAGCTGGGATATCTTCCTAGCTTAAGAATTCAGAATCTACTCCTCTAACGGAAAATATCACTATCAAATTCATGAAACATAATTAGCTTAATTTCAAGTACCTTGCGAGAATGCAGTGCCGATCAAGCCCAAAACTAAAATAAGGCACATTCCTCCCATTTTTGGACAACTCAGTAAAGTGGCTGACTGCTTCTACCACAGTACAATGCCTAGCTCTTTCCCAACGTATTAACACGCATGTACCAGCTGAGCATTCAGAGAGATTTACTTTGACACCTGCATTTGGCCAAGAATCAGTGTATGTTTGTTCCCTAGACATTCCATGATAGTTACATGACATATTTTTGACGATCGGGAACCGTAAAATAAACGGAGCACTGTGACTTGGAGATTGCTTAAACAGTTGTTTAAACGAAAAAAAAAAAAAAAGAAGCATCATATATCTACGTGCCTGGAAGTTTTGTTAACTTCTTTTAGTCAAATACGTGAGAACCAAAGGTCAGCTCCAAGATCTGATTGCTTTATTCAAGAGTCCAATCCTGTTTCGACTAGACAAACTATTTGCCTGAACGCATTTACTTTTATCAATAACGTGGCTTGTTGCTGTTTTTTTTTTTTTTTTCTTTTCTTTTTTTTAACTACATTGTCTTTTAACATCTTTTCATCGGCGGAAAAAAATTGTAGTAGCAGCTGCAACTTAATTTTGGTTCTTTTAACTAAATTTTAACCCTATTCATCAGCGTTGCGTTGGTGGTATAGTGGTGAGCATAGCTGCCTTCCAAGCAGTTGACCCGGGTTCGATTCCCGGCCAACGCATGTTAAATTTTTTTTGCTACCGATTGTCTTTTTCATTCTTCACTTTTTTTAAATTTTCTTGTTACTAGATCATTTCCACTACGCCAAAAGTACGCCTGTATCGTCTCAATCTTTGCGATGATATTTTAGGCGATAATTGTTTAATGTTTGGGCGATGATTCTTTAGGCAAGAAGCCACCAGTGACTGAAAAGAAAAGAGAAACTAAAAGCACAAAACTAGTAAAGTTCTGCGTCTTTCATTCTTCCTAAGCTACAAGCATTGTCATCAGACAGAAAGTAATTGTTCAATATTTCTCGACGTCCACCCTCAACATCAGCCAAACGATTGGCTTAGTAACTTTAAATTTTTTGCGATATATAGCGTTTAAGTGTAAACAAAGGTTTCCAGAACACAAGCGTTCTCGTATTTTCTTCGTTTGAATTCCAAAATATCATATTGTGCCGTTTCGATGCTGAACGAGGCAGGCGTAGGTGGATCAATTTTAACCCGCCACGTGCTATTATTTTCTCCTGCAAAGTTTCAGGAAAATATAATGATACTGTTGTCGCGCAAAATATGCAAAAAAAAATTGGAATTTTGATTTTGAAAAATCCGTTTAAAAAAAAAAAAGGAAAAAGGGAAACCCTAAACTGTTCAAACACAAGTTTAATGTCGTAAGAGGATGAGGCATTCCGACATTCCGACATTTCTAGGAAGATCGAATAGACGTCTGCTCGCAGGGTAATCATTAAAAAGTATCATGTTGATTGTGTTGATTTTTTGCTCTCCAAACTTCCCGCGTGCACCCATAACTCGATTATTCATGCTAAGTATGAACCAAGTTTTTAGCGTTATATGCTACCTGTCCAACGCCTGAGAGCTCCGGGAAAACATTGCCATACGGGGTGTCTCGAAAACACAAACGAACATTTTTAGCTAACGAATAAGTGGCATCATAGTTAATAGAACTTGATTAGCTATGGTGGTACGTTTTCATCCGAAATATGAAGCTCTTGAACAACTTATCCTCGCTCAAACTACTTAAAAAAAACTCTTTCATATTTTCTTAATCTTAAATATCTAAGATAAAGCAATCAAACCACTCAAATCTTTGAAAATTCCAAATTTCGCAGGAGATAACGAATTACAAATATGCAAACCATAAATGCATGACCCCATAAGGGCGAAGCTTTAAAAAACTTATCGTGTTGAAATAAAGTTGATGTTATGTTATTTAACAATTATTCGCCGAAGGCGAGGTGAATATCGTCGAATAATCCCCAAGACGAAGTCGAGGGGATTATTCGACTATATTCACCGAACCTGAGGCGAATAATTGTTTTAGTATAATTTCAGAGCTGAACAACAGTTATTCTCTTTACAAGAAAAGCTTGTTCGCAGCAATTTTTTTGTAACCTCGTCGCCACACTATAAGGGATATCTTTGAAAACGTGTTGATTTAGTTTAACATTTTATATAAACCGCGCGGAGCGGTTTATATAGCGTCCTATAAGGAACCGCTCGACCAATTAGATTGCTGGAAACTCTTTGCTCAGCTCTGAAATTATACTAAGTTATGTTAATGTTATTGAGATCACTAAAATTATGCGTTACGTCACAGTGGCAGCCCCCAACCGCTTCCGCTTTCACTTCGTTTGACTCAGTGATCCAATTGTGTTGCGTGAGGTTGTGAAGAATGGCCAAAAAATTATCCAACAGAGATCAAGAATCATTGAAGACTGCTTTTTTAAAATGGGTTTCAGAAAAACGCCAAGATCGCTTGTCTATCCTTATTACTGGTAAGACCGGAGTGGGTAAATCTCGCCTTGTAAACGCGCTTGTTGGAAAGCGAGTTGCGAAGGAAGGTCGCGCCAAGACTGCTTGTACCGACACCGTCACCTCGTACCGCACTAAAATCAATGGCGTTGAAGTAATTGTGTGGGATTCGCCTGGTCTACAAGATGGAACATGCAATGAAGAATTGTATTTTCAGGACATGAAGAGCAAGTTAAGTGAAGGCCGGTTCGATGTTATGATTTACTGCATCAGTATGGCCGAAGCACGGTTTTATGACGCAGATAAAAACGCAATCCGCACCCTGACAAACGTTTTTGGGAGTAAACTTTGGAAGAGTAGTGTAGTGGCTTTAACTTTTGCCAACTTGAAGACCGAGGATCCAGATGGAGAGGATGACCTAGCTTACTATTTGGGAGAGAAGTACCTCTGGGGAAAAGCAATCCTTGATTTCCTAGCTTGCATTGGGGTTGAATTCGAAGTGCGCCAAGGCATTCCAATCGTTCCGACGGGAAATTATAAAAAACTTAAACTTCCCGAATGTGAGAACTGGCTCTCAGATCTGTGGATAAAATGCTTCAATGTCATGAGTATTTCGTCAGGGTTAGCTTTCTTCCAAATTAGTGAGAGCCGTTTGAAATATGCAGACAGCCCGACAGCCACCACAAGCACGGCAGCAGCTGCCCGCTCCTCTGCAGTTGATGACGGAAATCAAAACCTGATACTCGAGGATGAAAATCAATCAGCTAACAACCTTGATGCTCATGAGACTATCCCAAGAGAAATTCCTCTGAATGAAGAACAAGAAGATGGGCTTTTAAAGAGGATGTGGAAGGCTTTCTCGGAATTCTGTGGAGCAGTTAAAAACGTTGGTCATCGCTTCTTAAGATTTTTTACAAGACGGGGTAAAACTATTAACTAGCAAACGATTACCAATTCATGATGAAAAAGTTTTCACATGAAATCCAATCAACGTATTGTGCTCAGAGAACCAGAGATTTTTTTTTTCTCATCTGTGCGTAGAGAATTAATATTAATCATTTCCTGAAGTGTTAATGTTCCACGAAAAGCACGCGAGTCGACTACTGGTCATTCATTGGTTATTTGAGAACCCTGACAAGCAGTCGACGTCACGCAATTTTAAGAGCCAACATTTGTAACATCCATGGCTCCGTACACTCTGAGTCCTGCGTTAGAAATCACCCAGCGTTAGACATGAGATTCATAAATCACTTAAGGCCGGATCGCTTAGGCCCGGTTTAAACGTTGAACTTTATATGTGCCGAACCTAATAATTAGGTTCGACACTATGGGGTGCCATTACCGCCAAAATTATATTTTAAAAATTATTCAGCCTCTTTTTCATTAACCACTTACTTATACGAATTAACCATACTTGTCACAATATTATTTAGTCCATTTCAAAAATTATTCAGCCTTATTTTCATTAACCACCTACTTTTACGAATTAACCATGCTTGACACAATGTTATTCAGCCCATTTTGAAAATTATTCAGCCTTTTTATCATGGGGCTTGTTTTTAACTATATCCCAACATAACTTGCGGTATTATAAATATATCCCAGAGTTCTTTTCACACCCTTTTCGTTGCAATATGGCAGAAAGTACAGGGATTGCGGATGTTGCACGTTCGCTCTCCCAAGCTGCTACCAATTTAATAAGTCTAGCATCACAAGAGTTTCGAGCAACTAACACTACTTCTGATCTACCTCATGTTGATTGTTAGTTCTTTGGTTTCTTTCTCTGTTTTGCAGCCCTTGTGACGGTGAAATGTTTTGCTTGACTTGATGTTCCACGTGAAGTTGTGTTGCTTACAACTGGTGATGACGCGTTGTGAACTTTTTGGTACGGAGAAAACGCTCGTTTCAACTCAGCTTGAGCTTGATCAGAAGTATTATTAGTTTCTCGAAGCTCTTGTGATGATTGTGGTGCTAGACTTATGAAATTGGTAGCAGCTTGGGAGAGCAAACGTGCAACATCCGCGATCCCTCTACTGTCGGCCATATTGCAACGAAAAGGACATGAAAAGAACTCTGGGATATATTTATAATCCTGCAAGTTATGTTGGGATATAATTTAAAACAGGCCCTATGAAAAAAAGGCTGAATAATATTGTGTCAAGTAATTCGTAAAAGTAGGTGGTTAATGAAAATAAGGCTGAATAATTTTTGAATTGGGCTAAATAATATTGTGGCAATTATGGTTAATTCGTAAAAGTAAGTGGTTAATGAAAAAAAGGCTCAATAATTTTAAAAATATAATTTTGGCGGTAATGGCACCCCATACCCGGCACATGTAAATTTCGACGTTTGAATCAATTAGGATCGACGCTTTTGTATTAGGGTCGACTCTGCCGTTCTATTCGACTGAGCTTGTCGAATAGAACGGGAAAAGATCGACTTCGATTCATACGTCGATCTTCACATGTGCCGATCTTAGTGCAAACATTATAAATAAATTAAATTTGTAATTTTTTTCCCACAATCCCACTATTTTTAGTTAGTTGCCATGCGCATTAGATTACATTCGATGTGAAATGGGGTTGACAGGCCTACACGACTCCCCAGCGCGTGTTTAGAATAGCCTATTAAAAGTTTGGCCCTCACGAGTATGTCTTTGAACGACCGCCCTCTTTTGTAAGATACGAGGGGCGGACTTTTGTATATTTCGCTCAGAAGTGGTTGTGTTTCCATTAAATGCCAGTTTCTCATGAGAATTTGCGGATCAATTTTACTATAGGTAGTGTTGGCCGACATGGCGACCGACATGTCGACCGACATGTCGGTCGACAGTCGGTCGACAGTAGGTCGATAGTCGGTCGACAGTCGGTCGATAGTCGGTCGACATTCGGTCGATAGTCGGTCGACAGTCGGTCGATAGTCGGAAAATAGTCGGTCAACATGTCGGTCGACATGTCGACCGATAGTCGGTCGAGATATCGGTAGACAGTCGGTCGATATTTGACCGACACTTGGCCGACACTCGGTCGACACTTGGCCGATGCTTCACCGATACTTCACTGACACTTAATCATATACCTGAGAGTTTATGCCTTCAAATCAAATATTTCTTCAAATCAAATTTTTCAATACCGACACTGCAACACTACATAACCACACGAGCGACGTTCAAACTATATTTACCGATAAAGTTCAGACACTTGACCGATAGACTACCGACACTCGGCCGATAGACCACTGACACTTGACCGATATTCCACCGACACTTGACCGATATTCTCGACCGATATGTCGGTCGATATGTCGGTCGACATGTCGGTCGCCATGTCGGCCGACACTACCTATATTAAAATTGATCCGAATTTGCTTTAGGTTTGGCACTGATGGTTGGTATTGTGTAACAAAAAGCAAGATTCATTAGTTCGTCTTCTGTTTCTGTTGAAGAGCTAGTTTCCTGTTTTTGAAATTCATCTCTGAGTTGTGTTAATGAGATCCTCTGGGCACAGGGGCCGAGATAAGCGACGAGTCTGGTTGTTTATTCGAAATATAAAGGAATGTATCGGAGCATATTGAAGAGTCTTATTCTCGTAAACTTATATCATGAAATGTCTGAGTTAAAGCTCAAAAGAAATGTAAACCTACCTCACTTGCTGTGTATTGTCGTTTCCGTGGCTCTAAATGGCGAATTTGAGCGATTTGGTGGGTTTTGCGTCGACTGTTACTATACGTTATAAGACGTAAGCTGAAACACAGCAAAACGGCCTCAAATCGCGACAAGAACAGCACAGACTACTCTGTATGAAGATAAGACTTTATTTCTTTGATTATTTCACACAACTTTATATTTACGGAGCTCAAAAGTAAGTCCACTGTAAACCACTATACAAACTCTATAATAGTCCACTGTGAAAGAGCCTGTGACAGAGTCTGGGCCGCCTGTGCTTGAAGTCCGAAAGTTCGGTTTTCACTTTACGTCCATAAATTATTCGCATCGCTTTGAGAATCGTAGTGTCGTTGACTCGAGAGCTTAATCTGTCACCTTTAAGACCTTGATATTCATTCTTTTTCAAGCAGAGCATTCTATAGCATTGTTACTTAACTTTACATTCTGAGTCCCACAAGGTCTAACTCGATGGCAAATGAACGAATAATCCGACCTGAAAATTTTGAGGGTCGGCCGCGCGGACGCCATATTTACAAATTTGATCATATGGTACTTTCGTGATAGCATACATGATAGAGGGCACGTACGTACGTACGCTCGGTCAGTCACGTGACAACCAAACGAAAAGAGGTTGACCATATTCCATGGGTATGGGGCTCTGCCCCACGCGCGCGAAGTACGCGTGGGAGCCCCGCTAAAAGGAAGAGCCTACATTTTTTGTCTCCCTCCGTCCATGTGGCTTACTACCTCAATAGGTGAACGCCCAACTGGCATCTGCAAGGTGCGATTTCGAATCCCGTCCAAAAGTGAATCTTATCAGGTCTCTTTTCTGCGACTGGTTTAATTGCAGTTTACCTGCAAATATCGTTTCTTGACTTCTACCTTATTGGTACTTAATCCCGCGGGTTATCGATTACGAGATAATGGTGAGACGATATTTTGCGGGGTTAGATATTCGCGATTTCATCACAAGGCTGGTAAATATGAAATATAGGCATGCAATTCGTGCAAAATATTTTGGCTGGATTGGCTAAGACGGGACTTTTTGAGTAACTTATTTTTTCAACAAAAATACCTTTTGACAAAAATACCTTTTGACAAAAATACCTTTCGATCGAGAGTAAAAAATACCCATCTAATTTATGTGAAATAAACTTATACAAGTATTTTGTGGTTTGTTGTCACTGTAGTCTGAACAATTTGAAGGTGGCTGGGAACAGTTTTTCGAGACGCCCCGACGAAATTAAAAGTGTTCAAAAAACTTTTCCTCTTCATAGTCGAACCAATTTTACACGTGTTGGCCAATGGATTGACTAGTTAAGTTTGAAATGGTGGGCGTGGCAGCGACAATTGCTACATGTATTATTATACTAATATTTATATGAGGAATCCCCTAAAATAGTTTCTGATAACGGTTTAAAAGATTCCTCGATAGATTTACCCAAAAATCCAGGATAATCTCCCCTTTAGATAAGGACTCGTGGAAGAGTGAATTCAGGCAAATTAAATCTAGCCGTTTCAAGATTATCATGCCCCCAAGTTTACAGTTGATTTAACTCCCCTGACATGTTATTGTTTACAGAAAGAGCTCTAAATCACTTTCTAATGAATATATTATATTTGTTTTTCGCAGGAAAATTTCTCATTATGATCTTAGCCATTGTGGTTAAATTAGAACTTCTTCACTGAGTCGAAGAGAAACTACGGCGTCGCGATTCAAAAGTAATTTTAGCTCTAACATTTATGGAGCGAAAAGAAGGAAAAACCAGCCAGATCATTTTAGCCCACGGTCCAGTTGATAAACTCCATGTATTCAGGCAAAAACTTTTCTTTAGTACCACCGCCCAGATATTTTAACAGAAGACGGTACCGTGATTTTGGGGAAAGAAGGAAACCTAGTTTTTATTTTNCCCCAAGTTATCCGCGTCTGAACTATTCGAACGCTTGTCAAGACGATGCAAATAGAGTAACATTAACATCATGTAAGGCCAACAAGATCCTACGTCTTTACCAAGAGATTCTCTAAAGGACTTAAGAATTAATATTTCTACGCTGAGAAGTTTACATCTTACAGTTGTCATATCGCATGGATTTGGAGTTTTTCCCTGTTGTGTGGCCACCTCATTTATCCAGAATTATCACTAAGCTGGAACAAATTTAGCGTGGCGCATCCAAGTTTGCTCTTAAGACTAATGTTGATTATGAGGGACGGAGAGAAAAGCTGAGAACAAAGGTGACTGATAAGTTCTTGTATTCTCACTACCCTTTCACTGGATAATTAACAATTATTCCACGAGCGCGCGTTGGATACGATGATAGATAGCCAAGAAGGCGGGTAGCGCCGAGTTGGCTATAATCATCTCATATCCAACAAGCGCGAGTGGAATAACTGTTTTATTAAAAACGTTAAATTAAATTATTAAATTTTATTAATTTTTTAGCTCCTTTTTAATTTTAAGCTGACGCGTACGGTTACCGTATTTGTAGATTATGGTATATTGGCTCATATGCCATAATGGCTAAGCCAATAAAAAGTCTTGAATTGCATTATCCAATGATCCAGTTTTTGATAATGCCAGAAATTGTAGGGAGAAGTAACGTTTCAAAATCACTTCCGGTTGTTAAAAGGTTGAGACAATATGCAAATTCAAGTCATGATTTCCTTCTTTATCATTCAGAATTGTTTTATTTCCCTCTCTGATCATATTTCATCTACAGACAGATGACAAATCTAATCAGCAATTACAACACATGTAGGTTAGATACACAAGTACTCTACCATAGGGGTCCTTAGTAACTTGACTATCAATAGCTGCCAGTTATTCTCTAAGCAGTACTTCCCTTACTTCAAATAAGAATTTATGTCGTCACTATGTAATTAATAAGCTCCAAGTACTTCTTAGGTTGTGTTGCATGTCCTAGCTTTACACTAATCATAGAGGCTTACTGAAACAGCACTTGCACAGTGGAGACAGAACTACACATTGAGTATATAAGGCCTTTGGAATAAGTAAACGGTGCCACTGTAGTGAAATATAATTGGTCTCACATTGTTGTGACTTCTGATGTGGATCTATAAATAATGATAATTGACACTTTGACCCCTAATTGTGACTAGCATCTAATTTATTTGCACATTTTTGCCCCTAAATCAGGAGAATAAAGGAAATAATTACCAACAAAGGAAGCCCTTGCTTGTTAGAAAAATTCTCCTTGTCCTTATACACCTTATGAATTGTATAGATACCAGTATGAAGAATATGCATACTGGTGTTAGTGTGCTAAGTGTACACAAAAGGAGTTTCACGCCAATGTCAAACTACAATTTTTTTTTTAAATTTTGTCACTTTCAAGGCTGTGCTCTAAAGGAAAATTGAATGGAGCCCAGAAACTGTGAAATACAGGGGGCCCAGTACATGCTTTGTACGAAAAAACTAATATTCCGGAGTCTCCTGAGAGCAAAAGTATGGTGCCAGGGGCCACTGAGTGCTGCTGGACCACAGTCTTGATTTTACCTGAATTTATGGCCAAACAGTAAGTGTCCTTTAAAGAGAGCATGCATAGAACAGTACATCAATTATGGTCTTACATGAATTTACAAATAACTTTACAAACCAATTTTTTTGATTTCTAAATAAATAATAATGTCACTGAACTTAACTGTAGTTTTTGTGGCTACACAATAACCAGAGCCTCACTTACAGGCATGTTAATGACAGCAGTGATGACAGGAATGCTATTTCCTTGATGCAAAACAAACACTTTGATGGAATCTGAAATCCCTTTATCACTGATACATTCCACAAGAGTTTCATAAGTGTACATTAGTCCTGGCACAAGCAGAGGAACCGTAATGCAAGGCTTAGAAAGAGCGTACAGGGAGTCGTCAAACTGGAAAGTGATGAGTAGGTTGGTGGATGGCACACTTGATGAAATGTTCTGAAGATTCACAGTCAGCTTGAATGCAGGCCCAATTCCCTGAACTTGAGCTGAAAGCTTCAGAGGTTCTGTAGTAGAGGAGGAAATTGGGTTCAAACTTTTCTGAAGTGCACTAACATATGCCCTTGCAGCCATGAGGCGCAGGAGGTAAAGATCATGTTGGAACATTCTATGCATGCTCCCAGCACTGTCACGCTCACGCAATGTCTGATCCACAAAAAGCTTTGTCTTCTTAGGAACATTGAGCTTGATGGATTGTGCCTGAGGTGGTCCAGGAGTCAAATCCTTGCCTTCAAAGTTGGCAGTTCTCTTCAAGATTTTCACATACAGGCCTCCACTTTTGGTGATGAGAATTAAGGCACTGTCCTCACGGCCAAACCGACCAAACTTCATAGCTGTGACTGCATCTGGCATTTTTATTGTATTGACGACATACTTCTCCTTGTAGATCCTAACTTCACCATTTTTCAGGGCTACCATGACAGCCTTAAAGCCCCTTGCTTTGTGATCCATGAGATTCATGGTAGTGATACTAGAAGGGAGGTACACTGTCCACAGCTTTTTCCCTTTGGTGGAGTAACAAACCAGTGTGTTGTCCATACACCCCACAATAATACTCTTTCCAGTGCGCTCCAAACCGACTGCTTGGGCTCCAAGTTCAATGCATGCCTTGGCCATCTTACTACCCCTCTTTAAGGTGTACACTTTACCATCTCGGCATGCAACTACAATGCGGAATTCTACGTCAAATAAACCATTGACTGAGATGAATACTGGTACACTTGGGAGGTTCATTCTTGCAAGGACAGTGAAAGCTTCAGGATCAAGAACAAAGACATCCTTACTCTCCGTTCCAATCACCAAACAGCTCACAGCATCTTCATCTGCCACACTCTTTTTCATTGTTCCCATGCAAGTAATCACTGTTTGCCTCTTCAGCGGTGCATGCTTGTGAACACTTGCAAAAGCTTCAACCTCTTCTGGCTCAAGGGAGAGTAGTTTCAGTGACCGCACAGTAAGCAAACCTTCGCTTCCTTCATTCTTTAAACTCTCCAACATCTCCCTGAGCACATGAATGTCGATCTTGTCTTCTTTAGCCTGGTTCCAGAGATCTTGCTCCACAGCATTGACTTCCAGAGCTGGTAGGGTGAACTTAAAATAAGGCCTCAAGTTCTTATAGACATAGATAAAAGGCCCTGAAGCAACCGCAACAGCAGGAGTGCGTGGATCGTTTGTGTCCATGTAAAATGTTACCAGAGCTGTTGGCAGATCAATGATAGCACTCTCCATAAACAGACTAGTTCCCTTAAAAACCTTCAGCTTCATGTCAAATGTTCCTGTGCCTAGGTCAGCCACAAGGAGTTTGTGGTCAGAGTCGGCATTCAGGTCTGCTAGGGAAATTGATGTGGAAAAGGTGTAGAGGTGTGCAACTGGATCCTGGTGAGCATTGAGCCATAAACTTTTTTCTGGAGATTCTTCATTGTCCCTAAGAGGTTTGAAAAAAATTAATAAATGTGAACAGCTGAAGTTTCAACCCCTAGGTAAGGGGGGGTACTTCCAAGTAATAGACTAATGGAGATGTGCTGCTGGATGGGGTTGCATTTTCCTGACTGGATTGACTATAACGGGGTTCCAATTTCAATAGAATTACCAGAATGGAGTCACACATTTTTGGGATTTTGGGGGTAAGAAATTTTGTGGTGAGCAAGGATCTAAAAATTGGAAGATTTACAATTAAAATGTTACCACAGCCAAGATGACCAAGGTGACCAAGATGGCTTCTGCAATTGGGCAAGGAATAGACTATGATGGGGATAGGGGGTTCTGATAGGCCAGTGGCACATACCTAGCAAAAACTAACCCAAGTTCCTTCCCTCTCCCCCTCGCGGGAGTTTCAATCAACACTTTCCTGTTGTCGCGACCGTTTCAAACTGTATTTCAGTAGCACAGCATTCTTTTGATACGAATATGAAAGATATTCATGAGGAACATGCAAAGACGGGTAACAAGAAAAAAAAATGGATTTCAAACACGAAAACCACAAGCCAGTCTACGTACTAAACAGTTGCTAAGGAAAGCCAAGATGCGATGAAACAGTACAACACTACAATTTTCTCAGATAATTTCTAACCCGGTATGTAAAAAGAGTGAAAACAAACAAACAGGGTTTAAAAATCCGACAGGACTGAAGCTTTCTTCGTAACGATTTTGAGACGAAAAATCGATTGATTAATTACTGTTAATCACACACAGAACCCGAATCCTAAAAATCAACTCAGAAAACGACCTCAAATTTTTGCTCAACTTCACGAAATTTACCCAAGAATTGTTCCTAAAACATACTTACCCATTATCTAAGGAAGATTCCACTAGAGAACTCATTTTTCTATGAAGGCAAAAGTTCGAAATACGACGAAAAAGTATACACAAATACGACAGAGATCAACAACCCCTGCAGATCCCAAGAAACTTAGCGCTCAACACACTCCCATCCCACAACCCCTTGCAAATCAACTTTTTTTTTTCCTCTTTGCGGAGCCTGGAAAAGAGATTTGTTTCCGGTCACATAATTTAGCGCTTTGTCACAATTACGGAGCATTTAGTATTTAATTGAGGTGTAACTTATTACTGGCTACACTTTTTTCACTCTTCAATATCAAGATGAAAGTTACGGCTACTTTAGAGGGCGATCAGATTTTTAATCTGGACGTCAGTGGAGATCTAGAGATAGAGAATCTCAAAGCCCTTCTAGAATTCGAGAGTGGTTTGTCGTCGTCCCAAGTTGTGATTTATCACAACGGCCGTGCTCTTGTTGAAGAGAAGAAGACTTTAAATGCGTATGGGATTCACGAGGGCGATGTCCTATTAATACAGCGCGTTGTGCACTCCCCGCAACCTTCAGTTCAGTCGCGTGGTAAGTTTTATCTTCAATTTGATGGTTAAGAATTCTTTGTGAAAGCATTTAAGTTAAACATCACGTGTGACTTTAATTGTGTGACAAAGTCTTCTTTAGAGTAGGGAAGACTATCTCACCAGTAAGCCAAGTCTGCCAGAGCTGAAATCATCCAATAGTTCAAGAGATTACCGGCTTGAAAAGCCAGGCGTAAACTTGCGACATGATGATGTAATCACGAAAACTGGAGTATTGTTGTGGCTGGCTCATACGATCTACACATGCACAGTTGTTTAAACGATTACATCATCAGTTCGATAAGAAACCTGTAACTCCCATGAGTGATCAAGACTGAATTTCTTCTTACAATATCGATATAATGTTAAGCAGAGGAGTGACAAGAATAAAGAAAAATATTAAGAATTGTATGTCAGACAGTATAAGGAGAATTGCAAATGTGATCTTGGGAGTGAAAGGGTTGAGATAATATTTCCCCTGAAAAAACGTCTTTAATTTTTAAAGAGTATAAAAATGTTTTCAGTTTATTATGTTTGTGGCTCAGTTAGTGACTTGCAGCAAAAATTCAATAATTAAGTAGATAGAAATAATTCTAGATAAATCTCCACATAATTCATCTTGAAATGAATTAAACCAATTGAAGGGACCCACACTTTTCCCTTTACATGTCCTTTGGTGATTACATGGAGAATTTGTTTACGTATCAAGACAAGGCTCAACACTAACAGTAGCCAACTAGCCACAGACTAGTAGAAATTCAGTTTTGGCTGACCAAATTTTTCCTTCTAGAATTTGAAACAAAAAAAGTGTCTAATTGTTACTTGTGGCCTGTGTGAAAAAGTCAATTGGACTCTGTTGTGTATTTTCTCTAGCAGTTACATGGTAGTTATGAGCTAGATGTCTTTTTTTTAAATTCTTGGTTAGGAGCTGCTCCAACTGGTTCAGTGAACTGGGGAAGTATACAAGTACCAAACAGTTCACGATCTGCCGGTGGTAATCAATCAGCCCCAAGACAGCTTGCACAGCCAAGGGTGAACACAAGAAGTGCCCCTACTGGTGGAATAGATTGGGGAAGTATACAAATACCTAACAGTTCATCTCATCCACAATCTGCTCGCACTCAAGCAGCCTCAGGACCTCCACAGCAACCTAGTGTGGATACGGACAGTCTTGAGTACATTAGAGACATGTTCTTGGCTGATCCCCATCAGCTATCACTCCTTAAAGAGAGAAATCCAGAACTTGCAGATGCATTGTTGAGCGGTAATTTGCAGGCATTTGCTGCTGTGCTTCAGAGACAAAGACAAGAAAGAGCTGATAAAGACATGCAGAGAATTCGCACTATGAATGCAGATCCCTTTGACATTGATGCTCAAAAGAGAATTGCAGAGGAAATCCGTATGTCCAATGTCAATCAAAACATGGAAATAGCCATGGAATATTCACCAGAATCGTTTGGTAAAGTTGTTATGCTTTATATCAACTGTAAACTAGATGGACACCCTGTTAAAGCTTTTGTTGATTCAGGAGCTCAGATGACCTTCATGAGCTCGGCATGTGCAGAGAGGTGTAGCATTATGCGGTTGCTAGATCACCGGTGGGCAGGGATCGCTAAAGGTGTGGGAACACAGAAGATTGTTGGGCGAGTTCATGTTGTTCAGATCCAGATAGGAAATGACTTTTTACCATCTTCTTTCTCTGTCATGGAAGATCAACCTATGGACTTAGTTCTTGGGCTAGATATGCTTAAGAGACACCAGGTGAGAATTTGTGATTGTATTGTAGAGCAAAAGTTATCCATGAATATTTGTTGGTACAAAATATAGTTGTTCTTTCTCTCTCCTTTAACTCCCAAGATCTCATGATCAATTCTCCTTTCAAGCTGCCACAGATTTCCTCATGAATTAGTTTCAAGAATTTGGCATCAGATCAATACAACAACTTTTACCTGATAAGTTTAAGTATTCTCTTTACCTGTTTGCTGGATAATGCATGGATATTATAGGGAGAAGTTACCTGTTAGTCACCTCTGGGAGTTAAAGGGTTAAAAGCAAGCTGATGACAGAGTAAGGAGAGTTGAAAGGTACATGTATGCAAGGCTGTGCTCTAAGAATAATTGCAGGGAGCCCAATGTTCTGAAACTGTGAAATCCAGGGTGCCCAGTGTATGCTTTCTATGAAAAACTAAGATTCCTGAGTCGCCCAAGAGCAAAAGTAAGGTGCCAGGGGCCATAAATACTCCCATGAATGACCAGGACAGAATTTCTCCTTACAATATCAATACAATGTGAAGCAGAGTAATGATGAGAATAAGGAAGAATATCAATAAGGGGATTATTAGCTGATCCAACACTAAATTCTCTAAACGTATATCAGAATTGTATGGCAGACAGAAAGGAGAGTTACTTAGGAGAGTTTTGGAGTGAAAGCATTAAACGAAAATCATAAAATAAAAAAAAGATACAGTCAGACACAGATGGATACTTTTCTTAAGTTTAGCTTCTGGAACGTACTTTCCCATGGAGTGACGAGCATTTAACTTCCCCTCACAGTATAACCTCTGAATCAAACATAAAGGTTACGAGAATAAAGGAAATGATCACCAACTTAACAAGCCCTTGTTTCTGAAATAATTTCTGTTTGTCAGCACCTTTGGAAATGTATAGAGGACAATATGGCTAATAGGCTTACAGATGTTAGGGTATACTCTAGTTGGCATCATGTTTTCGTGCCGCTTTGTGGCACTCTTAATACAATAAAATTCATTTGAGAGGTGGAAATGCAGGAAGGTCAGAATTTTTTTCAATTCAATTACCAGTAGAATTCAAAATTGTCACATAACCTGCACTTCCCTAATACCCACAGTGACGCATGTTTAAGGAAAAATCAACAGATTACTTGCGGGTAAATGGCTGGAAATTAAGGTAATTGGCTAATGTCTTGAAACAGTGTTGAGTATTTTGGCAAAGAAGGTAAATATTATGTGGTTTCACCTTAGCTGTGCTTCCTCTACAGTGCTGTATTGACCTGAAGAAAAATGTCCTGCGGATTGGTACCACTGGTACAGAAACACCCTTCCTAGCTGAGTCTGAGTTGCCAATGACTGATCGCCTGGCATTCAGTGACGAAGGGGAACAAATGAAAAACGTTGAGGACAAACAGTTGGTTGAAATGGAAGACAAGGAACTTGCAGAAGCAATGGAACAATCAGCTAAGGAGGCCGCACAAGGAAACTCTTCCAAATCTTCATAATAGTCCCTAGTGATAGTGTTGATCAATAAGAGAAGACCAATATCTACTCGGAAATGCATTCATTATTCCAAATGTTTGTGGCTTTTAGAGCTCTTGCCTGCAGAGGGACCTTCCACATCTAGTGTGGCCTAGTTTGTATCGCATTCTGTTTCCTCAAAATCTGTTTGACAAACCTGTAGTGTGCAAGTGTCACAGTGTACTTCTCCTCTTGTAGAATTAGAATTTGGTGTTTTTATTTTTAAAGAGACAAAAAACAAAAAATGTAAATGTTTTTTAAAAATATTGATGTTCTTGTTCTTGTTTTACCTGCAAGGTCAGTTTTTTTAAAAAAACTACAAGGAGGATCATGAATGAATATTGATTTAATAATTACCAAAATTTAGCCATATTTCTGTTGGTCAAGTCTTCCCAGAAAACCAAGTTGAAAGGTGTATTTTGTGGTATTTATTTAATCTTGGCTTTGATAATTTTGAATAAATTTTTAAAATAAAACAATTTTTTTTTGAGTCAGTAACAGCAATAGCAAAGCTCTGGAAAGGATTGCATACATTTAGGAAAAAAATTTCCAAGAATGGACATGTTGGTCAACTAGCAAGTGTCTTTAGAATGGATGTTGTCGAGACAGCGTTCAACTTATATGATGAAATAACTGAAGGAGTGAGTGATAAAAAGCCACAAGTGCCATCTGATAGACTTTTGAATTCTTCCTCTGAATTGTCTTTAAATCCTTTTGGAAACACACTAAGTGAAGATCACATCAAGTGTACCCCTGAACATCAAGACATGAGTGACAGTTGTCAGAGAATAGAAATATTTTCACAAAAACAAAATGCTGTTCGTTAAGATTTCAAAAGAATGAAGTTTGGCTCTCTGTTATTTAAACCCAGAAAAGACATCCACATGTATCCAAGTCTCTTTTTTGAGGTTTGCAATTTAAAAAAAATTATCCATGAAGGGTATTGCACTCCTCCAATATATCTCCCAGTTTGCATGTGCAGTATGATTTGTTAGTATAGCAGGCCATATCTCACCATAGGACCCACTTAATTTGTAAGTTTGTTTAATCAGAAATCTTCCCCCAATATTTGAACCCAGAGATAAAATAAATTTCTTATTGGCCTTAACTTTTTGGTATGTGCCATCAGTTACCAAACCTTGTTTTTTTCATGGAATTATGGTCTAAGCACAAAGCACGCTGGTTGTAAATCCAAGCAGAAAAGACCCAGTCTGTAACTTGCAGTAATCATACTTCATAAGTTAGAGGTACATGTATGTGTGCCCAAATTCCCAACCTGGTGTGGTTTGAGCTGAGGCCATGGTGATTGTGCTGTGTTCTTGGGCAAGACACCTTTTTCTAACTTGAGTGCCTCTCTCCACACAGCAGTTTTTTTTTATATGACGGGGATCACCCAACTGTTTGGGAAAACTGATAAAGTAGAGGGGGGAAATTGTTGCTGGACTAGTGAACCATCACGTGATGCAGTGTTGCTTCTGTTGGAGGTTTATCAGTTTAATTTAATTCATTTTATTCATCACAAAAATAATTGTACAAATACATCCAAACAGCATTAGAGAAAGGGAACTACTGATTGAAGAGAGGGAATTCTCAGAGATGGGCTCATTAGAGAGGAAAATGAGGGGATAGCTTTTTGAAGCAGTGTAGCCTTGTAAAGTTCTACCAATACAGAGGGACAAGTTTTGGAAACTAACTGTATCAGTCCTGTCTTCAGACTACTTTAAAAACAACTTTTACACTAAAGCTGAGCTGTAGATTCACTTTTTATTTGAACAATGCTACCTAGGAAATCCTAAGTATTTAAAAAACATAAAATGACAGGTTAATTTCAACAGTACAGACAGGGACCTTGTAACTTTGTGTCTTTCCAAATAACAATGTTTTTAAAAAATTTTAAAAAAGACAAAGGAAAAGAAAATATGATAATCCCAATCAGAAAGTATGAGTTTGCACAAATTCTTAAATGTAAATATTTTTTTATCTCAACAAATACAGGGAATTTTTACTTAGTTCCACAAAAATGTGGACACATCCCAATCAATTTTAAACCAGATTATCAAAATGTGTAAATAACAGAATGTTTGCAAAAGAGTGATTATCAACAGCCCTTATTTATGACTTGATGGGCTGTTTCAAGTCCAATTTCACCTGTATTATTACAAACAATTGTAATTGGACAGGCCAAAATCAAAGACTTTCAGCACTTTCACCTATCAGCCAATAAAACTCAACTACAAAACTTAGCCGAAGCTAGCATTTCAAATGAAGAAAACTTTGAAAGTGAGCAGGTTGATATATCCACATTGAAAACATGAACAAATACAAAAATGATCAACTGAGTACTATCATTGAGATAATTTCATTTGATTCTGACGAGCACACCTGCCCTTACATTAAATGTCTCATTCCCTTGTTTCTCACATTTTGATATTGACACAATTATTTGGGCATTGCTCTTTGTGTTGAACAATTTAGGGGTAATCCTGCTTGTAACTTCAAATCAACCTTGTGCTATGCAGCTCCCCAAATTTGAAATCACTCACCCAATTCCTCATTGGACTGTACTCCACTCAGTCTTAATATGGCTACCATTACTAATCAATGCCGAAGTGTTTCGATATTGACATGAAATGAGTACCAAATGCTTGTCAATTTTTAAACCATTATGAAAACTTTCAACAGAAGCTAGTACAAAACTGCCATCACAAAATTGACACAAAATAGAAGGTATAATGATTCAAACTAATGTAATGCTATTTACAGATTGTATAAGCATGGAAGTACTGGGAACAAGGTATCATTAACTCTGAAGACATTACTAGACTTTTAAGCTTAACTTACATGCAATCTAGGAACAAAAAGCAAAAAGGAAAAAAATCTTCTTGCACAAACCAAACCCACCAACCTGTTCTTTAAAGAAATCATTTACTTCAAGAGTTATTCAGAATTTGGCATAATTTTGCAAATAAAATTTTAAACCCTTATCATATAATTACAATTAAATTTAATTCCCTAAATTTCTACAATTTTTTTTAATTTAGTTACTTTAAGTTTGACAGATACCACAAAACATTGAACAACACAGCAAAGTTCCCCAACTTCAAACACAAGCAACTATACTTAATACTTTAAAACTTACTTACAAATAAATCTTTACAATAATTATAGCTCTAGACACAACTTGCTTTGCACAATAGATCACAAAACTTTTAAAGCCAAATGAATGTGAAACAAACTTCTTCCATTAGGATAGCTTTCCAACAATATAAAAATAGCCTGGAGTTAAACTATACATACACATTTGGTATTACAAATAATTGAAAAAGTGCTATTTTAATTCAATACAATTCTACTGAGAAACTTTGAAAAAAATCATAGCTATTTGCCAGAATGCCTGAAAAATTCTTGTCGCTTCTTGTGGGTGCTCAATTGATTAAAAAACAGCTGATAGGAGAATTGCAATTTTGAAGATTTGTATTGTTATGCTTTTTAGAAACCTTCCAGATTACTTTTTTTTCTGTACAGAGAAATAAAAAATTATTTTTGTCTCAGTTTAACACAGCATTTAATTTATGTGTAGTAAGCATAAAAAAAAAACAGAAGACACAAACCCACCAAAGACTCATCACCTTTCTAAATTAGCCACATGCCTATTACCTACAAGTTCCTTTAAATTTGCCAAATTGCAAAAAATTACCAGTGCAGTAATGGGAGCTTTTCTGATCATACCTACTTAAAAAAAAAAAAAAAAAAGTTCTGTTAGCACTTGATCAAATCCCACTGATTTTTGAGGATGTTGTCAGAAGTGTATAGGTTCTCCTGATGGCCCTGGGATGTTGATCTTCAATGTGACCAAGTACAAAACCAGGGTACCAAGACCACATATTACAACAACTACACCAAGAGCTTTAGCTGAAGTTGTGAGGGAGGCTCGGAATTTCACTGGGGCCATAATACACAACAAAGCTACGCATATGGTGAGGGTAAAGAAAATTGATACAGCAGTGTTGATGGCTAATATCTGGCCAAACTTGGCAAAAAATTGAATCACCGTCAAGCACAGAGGTATTGACCCCACCACTGTTGTAGTAGCAGAGCTGAGGATGGCTGTGCCAATATGAGAAACTGCAGCTCGTGTTCTCCAGCCACGTATTTCCTGTCAAGTGAGAATAGAAATGCTTTTAAAATGCCCATTTACAGGGACTCATCCTGTATAATAAGCTAAGTACACACCCTTGAACAAATTCTCCAAAAAATTCCAACATCCAATTCCAGAGCACAGGCTAGAGACGCTCAATTTAAAAAAGTCTTAAATACACTGAATGCAAATATGGCGTCCAATTTGAATTGCCATTGTTCTGGACTGACTAGCCTCTCACACATGTAATGATCCTTTTGTGTTTCCAGGTAAAGACAAGGCTAGTCAGTCCAGAACAATGGCAATTCAAACTGGACGCCATATTTGCATTCGGCGTATAATACATACATTTTATTGAACACATTCCCATCTGGGGCTTTTCAGTGAACAAATTGGATTACAAAATTAAGATACATACAATACAATACAAATTATAATTATATCTTTAAAATAAAATATGGTCAGTTTAAAAATTATTCATTTAGAAGGTGATTTTTTAGAGCTAAAGGAAGCGGGACTCTTATGTAATTTAAGACTTGGATCCAGATACATACACTTTTATAATAAAATGTTTTCTGTTCTGTTGTAGTTTTAAAAAGAGGAATGTTTGGTTGTTGAAAGTTTCTGGCTATACATCCAGATTTGCTGCTTCTTCAGTGTTACATAATTACATAGATGTATTTTGGCAAGAATACTACAAAATAAACTGGCCAGGACTTCTGGACCAGAGTCCAGTGCACCAATCACTGGGTCACAGCATCCCTACAAGATTTCGTACGTAATAGGTTTAAATAAATTAAATGTACAGTTAGTTCATACAAACCTTAGGGGAGCTGAGATTCTGTGGTATAGAGTTTCCAGCCATAATGTAACCTTCTACCAAATGAACGCAATAATCAACTGATGTGCCAACCAAAATAGATAAAGAAACTGCTTCCACTGCTCCAAGATGCCATGATAGCAAGTAAAAAATTCCCACAACTGTGCTCAGGACACCTAACAGAAAGAAAATCATCAAAGAAGTCTTAGTGTGAGATGTATGTATGAGAGACGAGGGAAAAAACTGGAATGTTGTTTGAATTAACATCATATTATTAGAGCTAAAGCTATAAGAACTGTTTATCATATCGCTGGCAGTGCCCGTGGGCAATATGAGGTGATTCCTATGTTCTAATTGGCAACCCAAGTGGGCAACATGGGCCCATCTTGTCCCCTTTGGTGCTGGGTATGAAAGCAAATTGCAGCTTGGAGCAAACTTCCAAAAAAAGTTCATAATTTTGGACAGTGTCAAGGATGGAATCACTAAAAACGGTAAAAGACAGTCAAAATAAAGAAAGATTTTATTATTAAATTATGACTCTCCTGGGTTTATGGTGCAACAAAAACAGTCAGCTTTCTTTCCCATCTCCCAAAATTAATAAATAATTCTTAATTCTTGATAAAGTAAAATCTTTTTGCTATTATATTATAAATCCTTTATTGACCAAGCTTGTTGGGTAAAGATGGCTGGGTTTAACCTTGTTCTTTTTTTCCATTTTTTTCGGACTTCAACTTCATCTCTGTCCACCAAATGTGAAAAAAAAAAAACCTTGGCCAGTATAAAGCCATCTTGACCTCATGCTTGGTCAATAACACATAAAAGACAGCCCAGAGAATTTAATTTCAGAACTTGGGAGTAAAAAAGGGTGAACTTATTCCCAGACCCAAAATTCACACACTGCCCCAAATAGTTGCTTGTCAGTGATATAGTTTTTAAAAAGACCAAATTTGATGCCAGCAAGTTGATGTCATACATACCTAATATGGTGACCATCACAATCAGAGTCAGACAAGCATTGGCTGTGAACACAGCCACAGAGAAAACACATAACACAAGTGAAAACACTATGCCGTAGATTGCACTGTTGACAGCTACAACTTCCATGAACACTTTCACCCACTCTTCGTTAGTTTGGAAAATGGACTGGAATCCCTTGGGATATTGGTTAGAATCAACAATCTCCTTCATAAACCTGTCCCATTTCTCAAAATCTTCAACTTTTTCATGTGATGACTTGCCTAAGAATATATGCTGTAAGAAAATGAAATGCAGCCATCAGAAAATGCTAAAGACACTTAAAAAAACCAAGAGGTGAGTAACAGACATTCACAATACTACCACTGCATGACTGTGGTCTTCACAGCAATGGCATAGAGGCAGCATCTAATTCCCTCAGTCTGCATAATATCATGCCCTACCCCCTCCGATATTACCACATGAAACAAGCAACAAACCAACTGCTTAGACCAACCATAAAACTAATACGTCATCAAAACTTAATGATGTCGCCAGTCAGGCTTCAGGGTTCACCCATGGACAGACTAGCCTTCCATGTGAGGCAAGTTTGCAATACTCCTCACTCTCTTCATGCTATTAAAACTGGGAAATGAAAGCTTTATAAAGTTAGCCCCATGCACAGACCTTCAAGCCCTTTTAAACTCATACATTTAAGGCTTACCGATTCAAAAGCCATTTTCATCCAGTACGTCTTATTCCCATAAGGATTCTTAAAATCCATAGAGTACATCATTGCTTGAGAAGACCCAGTGCTAAATGTTGGTTTAGATAAGTTAAAACAGTCTTTGTAAAAGATCGATCGATGGCCATATCTGCTGATATCATCCAGAAAGATATTCCACATCCAGCTCGGAAAGCAATCTGCTCCTGCTTTTGTAACAAGCTCACGATTATTGCTTATTGCTGTGCAGAGGCGGCAAGCAGCCTTAATAAAGCTGTATTGTTCTGAAACCAACTTTGTAAATTCAAAGTCTGGGATTACTTCACCCTACAAAAGAATATGAAAAGTCTTGCACAATTTTCAAGGAAATCTAGGTATGTCTCTGCATTGACTTGGTTTAACACAATAACCTCTACACTCAAAAGTTTTTATGATAAAATGTTTTCAGTACGAGAATGATATGAATGAGAAATATTGACTTCATGTCTGATTGAAAAATTGCCCGGCGATTCTGCAAACATAAAGCAGAGCTGTCAGTATTAGAGCTGGCAGCCAACCAAACCAACAGCTAATTTCCCATCCTCGGTGGGCTATGCTGTCACGGTACTCTCTCCTTGTTTTTACCATTAGTACAATTTTTGAAATGGTACCAATTGAAAGGAATCGGTGCAGTAGCCATTTTCGAGTTTTTTAGTAGCACTGACTGCATTATTTACCAGGAACAGGTTTTGATATGTGACACAATTCCACCTTTAAATTTGCTCAAAGGTTTGTGTTACCTTCATGGGACATCTGGGACATTTGAAGCAAATAGTTCCCAGTCTTGCTTGTAATTTAATATCTGCAAGCCTTGTAGATATTGCCAGTAACGTAAATAATATATAATTATATTTTTGCCCTTACGATAGGGGCTTATCAACAAACATCTCAGTGCCTGAGGTGGCTCGTACTGAATGATTAATGTTCAAAAATACACATACTCAGATTTACTAAATAAATTAAACTAAACTACATTTAAGGACCCTGCAAAAATCAAAATAATGCCTTTCCTTCAACATGGGAAGAAAAATTTCAAAATAAATGAGCTTGTTATTATAATTGAAACTTCATAGACAGGCCATCTGTACATACCCTCTTTTCAATCACATGCTCTCGTGTGATCATGCTACGATCAATCCTTTCTAAGCCAAGGATCACAAAAATGGTTGCTGATGATGCAACAAAGGGTTTTGGGACTGGCTTGCAACCTCCAGGACACAGTGGGGGTGTGGTTGGAGTGCCAACTGCAGTTGGAGAAGGGATATCAATCCCAGAATCACCTAATATGTTTTTCAAAATGAAATCAATGTTACTAATGCCCGCTTGATTAATCTACATGTATAGTCCAAACAATTGTTGAAATAAACTCAATGTCAGAGAAGTCAAAAGTGAAGATCCATACCTTTGTTTGACTCTGTCTTTTTGGTCTGGGGTTTGTCTGTCTGTTTGGTCTGAGGTTTGTCTGGAAAATATTGAGCGCAAAGAAATTAATAGACAACAGACAAAGGGGGAACAATTTACAAGATTCAATTTAAATGTCAACAATGTGAGCAATACAAAGCAAGGAGTACTAATAAAATAAATTCACACCTTTATCCATCTCTTGTGCTGGTGTAGACTTCCTTTGGGTCGCTGATTGGTACAGATAACAAAAAATCAAACATTACTATCAAAGGTGAATCAATTATGGAAAGGCTGATTTCAAATACAACTTTCAAATTTCTCTGGATACTCCAAACCTACCAGAGGAGGGTTGAGTTAATACTCACTTGGTTTTTTAGTATGATGGACAGCAGAACTATTGGTTGGAGAGCTACAAGAAGCAATTTTATTCTTTTTTAATACACAAATTTAAACCAACAGAAACAGATGCAGAAATGGTTTACTTCAACTAAAAATTAAGACACCACAAATGATCCTCAAAGAAAAACTATGAGATGGCCTAAGCGGAGGGATCTACATCTTGTTTTCCACACAAGCTTGTTTTTTTTCTGGTCACGTAAGATTTGTTAAATAAAAGAAAAACTCTTTTGCTACAATGTATCAATGTTATATTCTAAAACAAATGACAAATGCCAGTGTACACTACTGATCATGAGTTATGGATGCACTTGGGAGGTTTGTTAAGCACTCAAGAAGCTATAGAGTCGCTCTTGGTTATTGCCTCGTGTGACTCTTACGCTTCTCTCATGCTTAGCAGCCTCCAACGTGCATCCATAACTCAATAGTGTACGCTGTGATGGTGTTTACCAAATGTTAATAGGTCATTTTACAGTTGTGTACTTAGTTGCCAAGCCTTTGATTCAGAGTGCGGCTGAAGGTGACCTTGTTGTGATAGAGACCTGTATCTACTTAGCATGATAACAAAGTGATTTACATTTGAAAGGCAGCAAGGTTTGTATCATAACAAGGTCAACCCTAGCCTCACTCCCATTCAAAGGCTTGGCAACCATGCACACAACTGTAAAATGGACAACTGTCCCCTTCTACCCTAACCACAGTATGCATATTCTCCAAACTGTTCTCTGTACATAATTTCCTATAGTGCTGACAGGGGGAATTTGTTTTCCAATAAAGAGTTTCTTTGGTTGTAGTGATCTTTTCTTTTATTCTTATGAAATTAATGTGAGATTCTGGGGTTACATTGTGGGAAGAAATTAAACGCTAGTCATTCTAACTCTAACTGGCTAAATGGAAAGGAGCCAAGTAACTTGTGGTAGGGAAACTGTACCTAACTAATTAAAAGTAATTTAGCTCCAGCTTATGCTATAACTCACCGAGAGGTGGTTGTTTTCTGCAAACTTGCTGTTGTTGGTTTCAATGTTTTCCCTTGTGGCATAAGAGTTGTTGTCTTGGAATCTACAGGCCTAGGAAGCACACCATCTCCCTCATTCTTGTCTCCTGAAGTGTCTGAAGTCTTGTGTACTGGGGGGGATGGAGATATAGGTGAATTATTCTGAGTTGCCACTGTGGGCTTTTTTGTAATTGGTTTATCAGCATTATTTGATTGCTGAAACTCATTCACAAGCTGATCAGCAGCAACGTCATTTGTTCTTAATGGTTCACTGCTCATGTTATACTTCAGCTCTATCAATTGCTGCAAATTGGTGCTTTCTTTGAAGAAGGCTGGTGGCTTGGTAGATGGTCGTATTTGTGAGTCCAAACCTATGGACTAACCCAGGATTAGAATAAAAATAATCAGAACACCATAACGGTACTTTTGTATTGGAACAGCCAGCCAGTGATACAAAATTGACTGTAGCCCACATCTGCAACGACAGCAACCATTATTGTGACTTTGATGTGGTTGTCCTTGTCTTGTTTGGAGGGACCTTCGGTTCATAAGGGGTGCCTCCAGATCAAAAGTATGGTTTGGATCATCAAACATGGTCAAGTCACTGTCACTTGAACTGGGAGATGGGCTCTGTGAGTTGGGAGAACTGCCATCTAAGTTGATCAGAGAGGTGTCATCCTCCTCAGAGGGTGATCTATCCACAAGTTCCATCCCTTGTGATGCTGAAGCTGGCTGAGAATAACCCCTCTCATTTCCTGACAAAAACTGCTGAATGTCACCTGCAAATAGATGTCAGAATTAACTCTTAGCTCCCACAATCTGACTGTTCCTTCCCCCTTAATTTGTACACGTTTCTTTATAAATTTGTGGTAAGGATTTTCTGGCTAAAGATCAAGAAAACAACTTTTGTCTGATGTGTTTGAGTATTTCTCATTACCTGTTTACAGCATAATGCATGGACACCATTGTGTTGTTCGATGGCCGAAAACCAAGAAGCAACAGACTGGATTATAAACTCAACTAGTTGGTTTAATCCGCCATTAGTAAAGGAAAGCATGCAACAAAGACACTTGAAATCGAGGCATGGTAGCACAGGGTACCCAACACTACAATCATGGGGAGAAGTTTAAAGGGTTAACCCATGACTAACATGTAACTTTGCCCTATAAAATCTATAACTTAATCAGAAAACAGGTAATAATTAACAATACTCAAACTCATCAGGTAGAGGTTGTTGTCTCCATTGAACACCAAATTCTCAAAACTTTTTTGTCGCAGCTGGAGGGAAGGATTAACAATCAGACCTTGGGAGCTAAACTGTTAATGAGTCACCCTGATCTGAATTCTTCTCACCAGATTAGAAAGCCAGCAACTTAGCCCATCCACACCTAAGGGTGACTAACACATTGTTTCTCCTTATCATTATCATATGGTCGTGTCTCACAAGGACTGGGAACTACCAAATTCACGAATTTGATTGGCTGAAATCAGTATTGAAAGTGGTCTAGATTTTCCCATCTAGACCAGCATCTAGACCGGTCTAGAAAAAAGGGTACAAAGAATATAAAAAACTGGCATCTAAGACCCAGACATATATAATAAACATCTTATTAACCGAGCTAGGTCAGTCTGTATGGGAGAATCTTGACCTCGGTCAAGATTCTCCCATACAGACCTCCTGCTTGGTTAATAAGAACTAACTACAATATCACCCCTGAATCAAATGTCAAGGTCACCCTGATTAGAATGACGGAAAGTGATCACAAACCAAAACAGCTCTTGATTCAGTTAAAGAAATTCTCCTTGTCAACACCATAGGAAATGTATGGGTTATAGAATAGAGAGTTAATACACAAGACTTCTACTGATGTTAGAATGTAAAGGGTTAATCGGAGAAGTATAGAGAAAAACATAAACAATTAAAAGAAGATCATTGGCAAGATTGGTTCATCAAAGAAACAGTGCAAGGTAACAAATTATGAACATTCACCCATGGATTTCAAAGAATCACATTTTAATTATTCATAACAATTATTTCTATATAAACAGGTCCCACATATCAAGAGCCAATATCATAATCATAAATTGACCTTTGACATGCCAATGATGAGAAAAACTTACCGGGCAAATCAGAGTGTCCACCTCCCAAAGTGCAACTCATCCACCCAAACAAACTTTTAAATATAAATCCTTCCCATTTGGACACGTAACGATGCCAAAGGTTGAGAGCAGGGGGAATGGTAAAAAACACTGTAAACCAACAGCTTCCCACTATCAGTGCCATGAGCAAGCCAAAGTCATGGATTGCTGGCATCTGTTTGACAGATAAAATGATAATTAGTAAAAAAAAAAAAATGTTTACAAGACAAGTGACCCATCAGGCTGCCAATTAACTTCGGTTTCCATAGCATGAAGCAAATAGGAGTATTTCAACTCCCTCCTGGATGGGATGCTAGTCCATCGCAGGGTTACCCCCCCAGCATTAAATTTGCCGATACCCAAGGTGAAGAGAGGCACTGCGAGAGGAAAGTGTCTTGCCTAAGAGTATAACACAATGTCTCCAACAAGGGTTCGAACCCAGACCATTTGATCAAGAGTCAAGCACACTAACGATAAAGCTATTGTGCCTCGCACTTGTATGCATGGCCTCTAACAGAGTCCTGGAAAATAAATTAAACTTGACTGTGTGAAATACTGGTCACAAATTGAGAAAGCACAAAATTGTATCCTAAGAGGATAATTGTGTCTGATTTCACAACATTTCTGCAAATAATTGTCTTTATCATAAGTGGGTTCATTTCAATTGCTTGTTTCACATTTGAGATCATCATTTCACACTTGTACAAAAGTCCATAAAAAAGTGGAATTCCCAAAGTAGGATCAATATACCTGACACGTCAGATAGTGTGTTAATAATTTGTTAGAATTGAAGAGATTTACCTACATCCATGATCACACATTGAGTTCACAAGAAAAAGAAAAATGGTCACCAACTAGTGAAGCTATTATAATAAATTGTAGGATTGTTTATCAAATTCTCTTTGTCAGCAGCTCAGGAAATGTATAATGAACATTAAGGAGAATATGCATGCTGATGTTAGGATAGAAAGGGATGAGCTCCCTCCTGAGGGTGTCCCCTGACAGAACCTTCTACTTCTCTGTATCTCTTACCCACCTTGGAAAAGTAGTTGGCAAAAAATGCCATTGCTGTTGTAAAGGATGTAAAGAAGGTTGCCTTTCCGGCTGTGGATATGGTGTGTAGCATGCGTGATTCCAAACTTCTTGCACTTTCTGCTTGACGAAAAGTGTTGATGAACACAAACACATCGTCCACTCCAATACCGATAATGATGAACGCTGAAATGCCGCTAAGAATGGCAAGACTTGGGACTTGAAACACATGACGGAAAAAAAAGTAAGCTGACCCAAGAGGAGTTACAATACTGATAATTCCGAAAAGAGTTAAGAAGGGGGACAGTCGTGTAAAAATAAGCACAAAAAATCCAACAAAAGCAATGGTGAACACCGCTAGCGTGATGTCTGCCCATAGCGTCTTGTTCACCTCATAGTCAAAGACATCTGTACCACCATAGAGCAATCTCACTTTGCTGTTGACAAAAAGCAAAGACAAGGTAACCCTCTAGGGTGAAGTACATGGCACAAAATTTGTGATTTTTGCCTCTTTCATTAACTTTTTACTCCCAAGATCTGCTTGTGAATTCTCCCTTCTATAACTGCTGCACATTTTTGCTTGTATTTTAGTTACAAGAATCTAGAGTTAGATAAAGACAACAGCCTCTACCTGATAAGTTTGAGTATTCTCATTAGCTGTTAGGAGGCTAATGTAAGGACATTATGGGGAGAAGTTACATGCTGATCACTTAAGGGGGTTAAGGGTTCAAACGTATAAAAAAAATATGACACTGTTCATGTTTTGAGGTTCAAAAGAATGAACTAAGATTTTCCTAATTGTCTTTGAATGAACTTGAATTTCAATAAGCCTTTTACTTCCAAGATCTTCTTAGAAATTCTCCTTGCTGTCTGCCATACCATTCTTATCATGTAAGTTTGAGGAATTTGGTATTGGATCGACTAAAAATACCCTAGTTGATAGTTTTATTTTATAATTCTCTACACTTGTGGGCTTAATCAGGACTCAAAAAATATTTGAATTACACCTTGCCCGTTCGGCAAGTAACCCTGAAGTTCTGCTTGCCCAAGTTTTCAAACTAATTAATAATTCATGAACCCAAGAATGGATTTTAATGTAACAATATATATAACACTTTTTATTTTGTGTGGAGGAGCCCAACTTGCATGTTTCGCCGAAAACAGAGATTTACCTGGATTTTAGCATCAAAGGGCTAGCTTTGTTTTCGCAGTAGAAATATGCAACTTCTCAGTTTTCATGTACAATTTCTACAGTTTTAATTAGTATATCGCTGTTGAGTTAAGTTTTGTACAGAGAAACAGAAACATTCTCGCTGGAAATTGCTACAATTAAGAAATAAACACAGTGTTATCGTTCCCAATGCAGCTATTTTTATCCTAGAAAGAAATTTGATTGGGGAAGATTTTGATCACGTGCTAGGCAACCACTTCTGAGCCGTGAGCGCGCACCATGCAATCAACAAAACAACACTATGAATTGTAATTTTCGTTAAGCTTCATCTAAACACTTGATTACCCTTTGGCCTAAAGTTTACCTTTTCCTCTCAAAATCGTTATCAAAAATTTAGTCGACGAACAGCTTGCCCGCTGGGTCCTTGCCCATTGGGCAAGGAAGGAGAGAAAGTTACTTGCCAAAAGGGAAAATCTACTTGTTCCAGACGACCAGACGGGAGTTTTTTAAAACCCTGCTGTATTGATATTGTAAGGAGAAATTCTGTCTTGGTCACTCATGGGAGCTAAAGGGTTAAAGAGTCCGCTGCTGTTTTAAATCTTGCCTAAAATCCTAGTCACTTGAAATTCTAAAAAGAAAATTGTCATTTACACTTTTAGCTGGAAACACAAAAATTTCTGGATCAAAATTTCTCCTTTGAGTCATAATGCATTACATAAGATATGGTATGTCACTGTATGTATTGTAGTTCACAGTGGTTAAAATGAAATCGGTTTTATTCACGTACCTAAGAATACTAACTAAATAATTAAACACATGCTGTATATATGCAGGTCTCGAGGGTATTACATCACACCATCACGCCTCACATTACATCGCGCATATTTTATGCTCGTTGGCATCCTATACACTACATGTATCATAGCTAACCCTTTCACTGCCATGAGTGTTCAAGGCAGAATTTCTCTTTACAATATATCAGTACCATATCAACCAGACAAGTGATGAGAATAGAGAAAAATGTAAATCAGACAATTATTAGTTGATCTGTGAATTTACATCAAAAGAATTTTACGACAGGCCCTGAGGAGAATTACTTATAGGATCTTGGTCATGAGAAGATTAACATGATCAACTCTAAAGCTAGCATTTAATCAGCAACCTTTCATCCCAGCTACTATCTAATAAATTTTCTTGTAAACTTATTGGGAAACTTTGATATATGGTATGTCTTTATTCATCACCTGTTTGCCTAATGATGCATTACAGAGGGTGACTTTGGGATTTTAGGTTTCGCGGTTTTGACTGTTTTTTGGATCGGTTTTTGGGCCAAAAAGGTTCGGTTTTTTGGTTTTGATGTTCAGAGCGATTTGCGGATTTTACGTGTTTTTGCATTCAGTTTTCGGTTTTCCTTCTTGACCCCTTTAAAAATGAAAATGTAGCGGTTTTGTCAGGTTTGTATGCGGTTTTTGGTTTTGCTGCCTTTTTTCATCGGTTTTTTGGTTTTGGAGGTTTTTTTCTCCGGTTTTGATGTTTCCCAGAGGCCCCAATGCCCTCCTCATTACAGGCAAAAGAGGCAAGTCAGGGTGATACAAAGCCATGCCATTGCAACTACAGACATGTATAAACATCCAACTAGTGGTATCCATGTCCCAAAGGGTAAAACCTTTCAACCAGCGAAGCCAACAGCCCTGTGTCCCCCTTCTATTCAATGTTTTAAGTTTTGTGCAAAAACTTTCCATGTTGCTTTTGGTTACTAATAGCTTTGTCTTTTCAGCCAATAAGATTTCAAACAACATGCTATTGTTTAGACCACAGCACATGACATCTGCAATATTGGGCAAAGGTTCAGTCCAAACAGCAGCATTTACATGTACCCTGGGGCAATCCTCTGCCTTGACAATCAACAACTTACACTCACAAACTTTCCAGAATAGATTGCGGCAGATTTAAAAAGGTTCTAGGCTGAGAGTCCTATTCCTGCGAATCGAATTTCGTGACCATAATTATGTTTTTCTCTGTTAACACAATTTGCATAACGATTCAACTCTAGATTAGGATACGAATGTTCAATTTTACACCCAATGCTGGATACTTTTATGTAAAAACTCAGAAAATGATAACTGAGAAAATTTGCATCCAAATTGATCGATATTTTTTTATCTTTGCGTGTGAGTTTTCAGCTGTGCAACTGTTAAGTTCTGAATCGAGTTTGCTGTACAAAAGAAATCTAAAAAATATTGTATACAAACGAGATTGTATATTTATCCACGCTTGAACAATCAAAAATGACAAAGCATTTTTTACGATATTAGAGAGGAAGGAAATTTGAGAGCCTTAGGCTAAAAGTGTTTCTTGAGAATAAAATCTTCATTCTCTAACATGTAAACGCCTGAAAGGTTTACAAAACTCGTGATCAAAGTAATAAACCGCCAACACCATGACCTGGCGAATTAAGCCTAACTTCAAGCAATGTCAAAATTGTACCATTCTTCTAGCAGCTTTACATCGCAACTCAGGGCAAAAGGAATATCTAGATCGATCCACGCAAACCTGACTAAATTTACTCTGTCGAGAAATGTGAAATTACATAATAGAGATACTTACTTTGTTGACATCTTCTTCATTGCTTCGATGTACCCCTTCAAAAAATTCTCGTACCGAATATTTTGTTCTCCGTGGGTCTCATCCGGTTTATTCGGCTTCAGAGGTGATCCAAATCTCAGTTCTGCTCGTAAAAATCGACTTCTAAGGTTATCCTTCGAAAAAGAGTCGTCTACAAACCAGTATGTAAATGTTTTAGTAAGCAGAAGCTTTAAGGTGTCCTGAATGCTGGCTTCTGTAAGGTTCTTGACTACAGTACCATCCTCGTTCTTTCCCATTCCGTCAAAAATTTCAAGGCCCAAAGACTCAGATCGAGAGGGATAAAAGAAATTTATAAGAGAAATTGGAGGTACACAGTGATCATCAAGAAAAGGATCATCTTTTGCGTTTTTCCACTTCCAGCAGAAGTCGCTGAATCCAGGCTGCGACATAAGACTCTGGTCTATTGCATGGACGGTTTCAAGTCGTTCTTTGGTTAACATGTTCAGGTCGTCGTCCCCTTTAGCTAAATAGACTAACTCTAAACTCGATTTCCTCTTGTACTGATAAGTTTTCTCTGTCGGATTTTCGTCTTGAGCCCTCGTAGATCTTCTGCGTCTCAATGTAGGAGACTCCGTCACTTTATGGGAAAGGCTTCCAGCAACCTTAACCATGTCATTTCGTTCAGAACTGATATGTCCCGGGATTTCGAATGACTCTAAAGATTTGTCTATAATCAAGCAATCACCTTTGTTGCAATCAGGAATAATCACAGAGAGCGCCAAAGCGACAGGAATTAAAATAGCGAGGCACAAAACCAGCCCTGAAACAGCTGGATGAACGTAAAGCCTCGTAGCCTCGAGTAAAAAATTGTCAATGCGGTGAGATTCACTTCTACAGCGAGAGAGGAACGCTCGAAACGACGTTAATGAAGTCTTTGGTTGACGATAAGACAAAGACGGCTCTGTGAAAGAAGAGTCCATCGGCGAATGCTCTCCACTAAATTCTGGATTCGCGTTATCATGCCCAAAGAGGAGCTTTGAAAAGTCATCGCTGTCTTTCCTCGAATGTCCGGCTTGCATGCTGATGTTGCTATGTTTCAGAAATTACTCGCTTCCTTCGGCCTGAAAATCTGCGTAACTAAACTAAAAGGTAACATTAATATAGGTCTCAGTACTCAGTGGTTCTCAGTTCGTCTTGAGAGTAGGTATTTTAGCATATAACATCACGACACGTTCTTTCGATGTCTCCGACTCAAACTTCTCTGTGTTTAACTGAGGTAATCTGTCTTCAGCCGGGACATTTGATATAAACAACTTATCACGTGACTTTTAGTTATTTTCGTTTTTGTTCGCGTGATTTAAGGGTCAAATTTCACAAGGAGGAAATTTTTTTTACTCAAGGAATTTTGCTAAAAGTATGAATTATTGTCTTGATTGATAAAGAGAACCGATGTTTAATAGAATATGAATTCAAGTGCGAATCAACGTCGCTACTGTTTGGTGAAAAACGATTTACAACATCTGGCACGGAAGCATAAATTATCAGGCGCGAAACACGATCGGCAAACAAAGGGTTCTCTGAAGTTTTCTTGTACTCACTGTTGATGGGAAAAAAGACGTACGGTCTTGAATTTGATGTGGTTATCCGGGGAAATATCAAAACTGTTCCTTTGTGATTCTTGAAACTAATTTGCTGAATATTGAAACAAAATGACGTTCTTTATGAATGTCATTTGTACTTAAAATATACAGATTCCCAAATTGAGATACATTAAAAAATACTGCCTTTGAGTGACAGGGTGCATTTATTAAAAAACCACGAGAACTGATATCAGGAATGTGCAGACACTTTTTGAATCTTAAATTTCTCTCAGCCTCGCGTAGAGATTTCTCTTACGAAATACGAGTTGCTAGAATTTTTATTTTATGATGTTAGCAATATTCTTGAATTCATTGCTAGCGAAATAATAATTTTGTCGTCTTTTTTTAATACTATTTATATTCAAGACTCTTAAGATAGAAAAAAAAATAAAACAAAGCAAACGACTTCGGAGATATGCAGATATGCAAGCTGATCAAACAAAACAAAAAGGCTTTCATTAAACAAAAATTGGAATCTGAAAAGGGCCAGTTAGACCTCTAAAGTCACACGAAGACTTAATTATGTTTTCTTTGCTGTTATTAAATTCGTGTAATTCTTTCAACAAGGAGTTTTAGCCGTCTGATCAGTACGAGACTTCCTCCATCGCTAAAAAAAATTCTCAGTCACGTCTCATTTGGCGGAAGAACGCTGTCTTTAACCTTCAACACCGAGGAGATGCGTGCGAAAAAAGGGAACGGGAAATCTGCAAACTAAAGAACCGGAAACGTTATCTGAGATCCTTCAGATCTTCCCATTGAACGCAAAGTTCAATTCATTGTTATCACTCCCTTTTTCTTGAGTTTTCAAAACACATCGTATTTTATGTGAATGGCTCAAATGAGAAAGTGTGAATACAAGATTATGAGCGAATTGCTGTATAATTTCCAAGTGAATATTACACTTCCATAGGTTAGCGGCATCAACATGACGTCAGCCCATGGAAACTTTCCTCAACCAGGTGATCATTCAGAATTTTTCGTACCTTTCATCGTATGGGACCAAGGGCTGTTAATTTCTTTTTTTCGCATTTTTCCTTCGCAGCTTCAGAAAGAAATAAAAGAGAACGTGAAAACATTACAAAACATTTCACGTAAAAAATTTTGTTTAAGTGGTAAACAAACATCGACCATCTGCGATTAATGGCAATTAAAATTAAACAAAGACAAAATAAATAATGCCGCGGGTCCCTAACAATAATGGGGGTAACCCTGGATTGAGGGGGGTAAGACTAGAAGCATAAAGCCGGGGCAGGATAATTTCTTTATCAAACTATTTTAGTGCAGCCGTTGCACCTCGAGTCCATCCCCCCCTCCCCTCCCACAAAAGCGAACTCGCTTACTTGCTGGTACGCTGATAATAGAGAAGCGAGTTTTTAAGATTATTTCAGGTCTTTAAATGTTGCCAACTGGCCTGAGGGGAGTTTGCGCATGCGCAAGGAGTGTTAACAGATTGGATTTTGTTTTTTTTACAGGGAAGCTACAACAAAAAGGTGCAGATGGAAAAGTTAGATCTAGCATCTCACCTCGAGTCTGTCACTTAAATACTGAAACGTCTCTATATAAAAGACAATACGGTCAATGCCGATCATTTTGCGTCATTTTCCGTCATTCGGCACCATTCCCCTTCCCTAAATCTTGTTGATTCGGTGTTATTTGCCGTCCTCGCCTATCATTCCCCAACACTACGCATTATCCACTGTGATTAGACATCATTGCCCATTATTAGGCATTAGTCGCCGTCATGAAGTGCCACTAGCCATAGTTAGACATCATCCGCTTTCATCGGGCATCATGAATTATTTCCCGTAATTTGGCCTCATTAGACATCATTCGCCGTCTTTTAATAGCATTCACGGTCACAAGAGAGCATTCGTCTTATAACTGAGACGATGCCTTGTGACAGCGAATAATACGTAAGGGCGATAAACGATGTTGAAGGACGGGTATTTCAATACCTGATATCAAACATTAAAAGGCATTTCGACGGCAATATTGCTTGACAGCGGTCATTGATATCCAACGTAATAGTGCCGGTTGCCGAGCGATGTCGGTGAAAAATGGGTAATGACTATTCAAGATTCAAATATACACTGGTGAATACATACACGAGATGTCTGTCTATTCGAGAGTATCTGTCGGTTTTTCTCGACAAAAGTAGGTCGAGGGAGCGGCTTACTCTAGATGACCAAAAGCCAAATAGTAAAGTAACCAGAACAACCAAACAAAACGAGGGAAAAGGACGAAGTGAAAACGTGAAAACTTCCCGACCGCGGGAGTGCTCACACGAGTACCCAAGTAGCCATTGGTTAGGAATTTTGTGTATAAGTTCGGTGGGTTGCGCTGATTTCTAAACCAATAACAGAGCGAAGTAAAGCAAGACCATTTCGATCCTGGATCACTTCAGACACTTAAATGAAACTGCTTCACGTTTGAAATCATTCCTAAACTTTGTTAGGAGTCGGTGGAAAGTGAGCATTACAGGAACACATAAAATGGTCATCAGAGTAGAACACCACTGGCAGATCGCTCGCCATATTAGAACACTATTGGCAGATTGTTTACCACATTAGATCACCACTGACAGTTGCGTCCCTTAAGTTATCAGAGAATTGGTTTACGTTTAGGAAAGGGAAACCAGTTATTCAATTAAGTTAGTCCAAATCACAACGAACTCAAAATATTTTCAGCTATATTAGGGCTTGAGCTGTTGATCGCCATTTACAGTTTGTACAGTCACCACATTTCTCCACCGCCCAATGCGGTCGCCGATTAAAAATTCGCTACGCGATATTTGGTCTAACATATAAAACAATTTGTTTCCTTTTCTTTTTTCTGTTTTCGAACAAAGGCCTAGGCGAGGCTTTGTCACCTTCATTGTATTTGTATTAAAGGTCTCTTTGCTAATCTTCAACAGTCTGTATTTCGCCCATATTCACTCGATCCGCCGCGTTCACACTGAATCCCAAAATGCTCGGGTCCACTTTCTGCATCTTTTTCTTTCTTTTTTTCTTATTCAACGCTTCCTGAGGATCCTCTTGGGGCAGGCCCGATAAGAAGGCGCCTGAATGGGTCATATTCGTAGGCCTGCTTGCAGATGGTCCTCGAGGAACAGGTGCACCCCACACACTGGCCTAGACGGAAAAACCAAACAAAACTCTCTTTGAAGTTTGGCTTTTTTCGCTTAACTTCAAATCAATAAAGGGGGGGTAAGCTTATAAAGAAACTGTCGTACTGCGTTGCTGTGGGGGTATATCAGGACAATTTGGCGTTACCAACTGAGTCGATAATGCAAATTGGCCACCGCAAAAGAGTTTCCAAAGCTGAAGTTTCACGCGTTACGCTGTAACCAAGGGTAACGTTCAAAACTCTCTACTGTGACCAATATACTATTATCAACTCAGGTGATAAAACCAAATCATCTTTCACTAAACTTGCAGCGCTTTCTCTCAGTTACATCCATTAGAGTTTTAACCATGGGTGAGACGCTACTCCGCGTTTGCCGTTGATCTCAGACTCGCATTGATCTCAGGCCCCATTTCTCGAAAGACCCTCTCACTAAACAGGCCCGAGGCCATATTTCTAAATCTAAACCTAGGTAACAGTTGGGGAGATCTCAGTGGAAAAACCAGTCAATACTGTTTCATTTCCTGAGATTTTTACCAGTTGAATTGAAACAAAAACTATCTCTATCCTAATGCTGAATGTCAACAAGCAAAGAAAAAACAGCTTTTCTGGAGCGGTAGGCGGCGAGACTTTCCAGAAACAGACCCTTGGTTATCTATTCCTGCAGCATTTTTCGGTAGTTATTACGGAGGAACTTAACCACAGACGTTTTTAAGTCGCGTGAGTCAGCCAGTATAGCAGATCCTGGCATTTATTCTGTCCCCTTTAGTTTTACATGTTAAAACGAAGGCACTGCAGTTGATTTCTTGGTGGAAAAAAGCGTAAACAAGGTCGCATTCTCCCTTTGGTCGATGCCTTCAAAACAACCCACTCAGTCCTACTTTGAGTCCGCGCTAAGTGCCATTTACATGCCTTAAAACCCTTTCCTACTCTTTCAACATTTGCTTGATATTTTATACCACGAAATTGGTTGCACCTACTTGAGAAAAGGATGGAAGAGAAGAAGCAGGGATTTTGTCCTTTTGTTTCTTTCGTCTTTCGATAAACTCGCGAGCAAAATCCCTCGTTTCGCGATTATCCCCTAGAAAAGACTTGACGTAGTCGTAAACCTGAGAGAGAAATTGAAAAGCAAAACAAATAGTCAAACGCTTCCTTTCATATTATGGAGCTTAAATCTGTTGCATTCAAGTGTAAAGCATGGTTTTCACTAGTGACGCAAGCACAGGCGGAAGCACAAAACGCACGGAAAAGGTAAGTATGCCAAGGAAAAGCGAACGTCGACAAGCACCAGCACTAGTGCAAGGAAAAAGAAAAATTCTGATCCTTGTGCTTTTGCGTGCACTTAATTGTGTTTATGCTTGCGTCTGGGCCGTTTTCACGGTGAAATAAGGGCTGGTATGCTTGTGTTTGTGCTTACGTCTCTAGAGAAAAGCAGGCCTAATTTCGTGATATTTTTCCTTTGCCAGCATAACTCTTTAACTGCACCACGACAGAATTTCTCCTAACAATTATAATACAATATCCTGCAGACAAGTGTGGAGAATGAAGAAAAATACTAATTAAAGGATTAAACTTGAACCAATACCACGTTCTCCGATCTAACATCATAAGACCTGTACGGCAAACCATTTTTGTAAGAGGGTAAGGCGAAAAGTATGCTCCAGAAATCATCCCATTTTCCTCTCGGCCATAAAAGCGCAAGTTCCAACGATTAATGAGGATTCACTTGTTTTCACTACTAAAAGTAACTTCAAATGTGCTAAACATTCGATGGACGCCGTTACTTTGACAACAACTTCGTAAACTGGCCACAGCTTCTGACCCCCTTACCGCAAGCCATCAACTGAGTCAAAATGTCGAGATAAATTATCAGGTTTGTGGAGCACACTTTCTCTTCTAAGAAATAATTCCCGTTTGTTCGAGGGGCAGATAGCGCTATCCACTAGATATATTCTAACCGGTGTACAGCACATAGAAGTGTTCAGTTAACACTTAATTGTTGTAGAACTATTAATTTATTTGGATGAATTTATCCGGCTGCACTTTAAACATTTGAGCCATGGTGTTTTCAAATTTCTGATCAGTCTTGCGTTGTGCAAGAAATCGCAGATAACACAGTCTCCTAATATTTACGTGCTGCATCCACAACCACCAAAATATTGATTAAAACAAATGCGTCTTTACGTCACAGCTGTACTTACCTCATACGGTGATTCAACATCTTTGAGAAATGCCGAGAATGTTGGAACTAAGAACAAAATAAACAGGTATTAATTAGTCATTTATAGTCGAGGAACACAGAAATTCAACAAACACTTTAAGGGCAACTCACTGTCTATTCCTGAGGCGATGTTTAAGCTTCGGAGCGCTTGGTCACACCAAATAGAAAACTCGTCCACACTGGGTTGACTGTGGAAGAGCCGTCTCAAGTTTTCCTAAAATAAAGAACATAGTTGACCAATTTTTGTTAATCTTTGCTTTGGTTTGTGTTGTTTTTACGTCTAGAAAGCAATGACCTCTGTTGCTTTGATTAACTTTCCCATTTGGAAAGCCATGATTGGTTCCAAGTTTAACACTAACGGCATCATCTGACCAATCAGAAGTAGAACCACAACCGCGTTTTCCCGCCCTTTCACCAGCGTTGAATTTTCCCACGTTTGACATTGGCTGTTCACATGTTTCCCTGCGCTTACAGCTGGTAGCATATTTTCCGCGCTTGTTCTGATATTTTTCAACGCTTGGTCAAGGCTTCGAGATTACAGACGATTCCAAGCTTGGTGCCACCAGATAACAGACCCAAAGGATCTACCCCACTTACTGTGATACACATTATCTTCACTCACCTCGTCTCTGTTAGCTCGTTTATCAGAAGCCACGTTGGTCCGAGGTTGACTAGAAAAGGAAAAAATTAAATTCACTCCCTAAATGCGTTTCTGACTTCAATAGTATTTATCGATTATTTAACATTGATTTCTTTAAAGCTTAGTAGAAAATTCTTAGTGGTTCTCCGCGACAAATCAAACACTGAAACAAGGAAAAAATATTTAATTTACTATTTACAGAAGAGAAAATTACTGAACGGCCAAAAAGGTTACGAACAAGAATTGTGGTAAAAAAATGTACAAAAATGTTTTTTTCTAGATAAGACTTCTATTATACGTCTCTGTGTACAATTAGAGTACAATCGGGCTAACTTCAAACGTCACTTACTTCAATAACTCAAACATAAGAAGCCTATTTCTTTGAATTAGAAACTAAAAAAATCGACGTTTTTGAAGATTAAGTTGACACATCGTATTTGAATCGAACCAAGAATTAAGTTCAAGAGCGACTGAACAGTGACTTTGATTCAAATGTTGCACTATACAATTGCTGGATAAAAATCCACGAATTCGAGCACAATTTCGACTAATTAAATTCGATGCCTGAACGAACCGTCGAGATTTATCATGTGGGTCGACCACATAGGTTTTAAGTTCAATACGCGCAAAGTTGTACGTTTCGACTGAACCTTACTCTCTCAAATAACCTCACCTGGCTTTTTGCTGTTGTCGCTGTTGTTGTACAAACTGTTGCTGTTGTTGGTCGCGACTCTTACTCGCAGCTTTGACGGCATCATCCCAGAATCCTCCGCCTTCCTCATCGCTATCGTCATCATCATCATCATCATCATCATCATCGTCGTCATCATCATCGTCATCATACTGCTGCTGCTGCTGGGAAGAAGGAGGGGGAGGCGGCTTGGATGGTGCTGAGCCCCAGATATTGGCTGAGTTGGGAGCTTGTCCCCATGATGCTGAAAGGTGGCCAGCATTCCCCCAAACTGACGAACTGAGAGGATTGTGACTTGGCTGAAGGAAAGAAAAAGTGGCACAAAAAAAGTTTCACTTTGAGAATTTGTTATCGGATCAACTAATAAACCTCTAACTGATATTTTCCTTTATTCTCATCACGGTTGTGCTCGATATTGTATTGACAATGTGTGGAGAAATTCTATCTTGGTCACTCATGGAAGTAAAAAAGGTTAACTAACCTTTTTCCATAAGTAGCTGCCGATGGTTTAACTCTAACTCCTAAGATCCGATTGTTAATTCCCCCCTCCAACTGCTACACATTTCCTTGTAAATTAGTTCCAACATTAACCACTATTTTTTCCAAACTTTTCACGTGTCTTACAAATTTGTAAAATGGTTCGTGGTTAGTCATCGTGGTAAATAACACTTCAAAACAGAAACATAATCGTTTCTCTTCCGATGTAGTCATTTCGAATGTGGATCTTTTTAGTTTTGGATCAAATTTTGGATATATTGGATCAAATTGTTGGATCAATTTTGGATCAATTTTCTCCACCCTCCTAGAACGACTCTGTCTGTAGGAGCCTGATTCTGGCAACTTTGTGTCCTAACAACTGCAACAAAAGATTTCAACGAATGTAAAGGAGCAAAGAGAACTGGAAACAAGTAATCCAGGTTGCTATGGTGTTGCTTCACCTCGCCATGCGATTGGCCCAGAAACTCGCGCCACCTTCTCAACCGATCAAATGCAAAATGAGAGGCAATCACGATCTGGTCACTCGCGTTTTTCCCGCGTTACAAGCTGTTTGACTTTGATTTCTTATTGGCTAATGGCGATGTCAACCCTTGCTTTGACTGGCCGTTGCTTCCCTACCTGTGATCTCGACAAAGCAGATCCCTGCTGCCTCTTGTTCTGCTGCTGAGCCTGTTCTTGTTGTATCTGTAGCAAAGACTTGACAGGCTGAGTCGCTACAGGTGGTCTGTCGCCCCACCCAGGTACACCCCGTGCCTGTTGTTCCCTCTTCTGGTGGGCCTGTAATTGCTGCTGCATCTTTAGTTCCCGCTGCATCCTGTCTCTTTCCTCCTGCTGTTGAATTTGAGCTAAGGACATGGTTCCTGACACAGGAGGAGCAGGACCCCATAGAGATCCCCCGGACGTCTACAAAAAGAGACAGACAGATAACACAGTGGTTAAATGTCTGCGCACGAGCGAACAGCTGAGAGGTGGCCAAAAATGGCGGCCCTACTGGAGAGTTACAAGAAACCACACAAGCCAGCAGGCCATAGTGCTTTAAATACGGATATATTGAAGCTAAGAGCAAAAATGGTACATCAAACAAAATAAACTTTTTATTTGACCAGTCATCAAATATTCCTTCGCCCTACTTTGGTTTCCATTCATAAATTTCTACAAACGTTTCGAGCTCTTTCAGAAAGTTGTGGGCGACGCCAGCAGTTTCGTATGTTTTCTTTTAAAACCATGATTTAGCGCAGATGCTGATCCATCTGTACATGCCCGACCTTTTGGCAACTGTGTCCAAACCAAATTATTTCTGGTTATGTTCTAGTTTAACTAACTGGTCAAAACTTCCTAAAGTTTCATGACCGCGTTCCTTTGAGTCTATTTAAGTCAATTCTCCGCTCAGGAGGCTGCTTCCCTTTGTCCTCAAGGCGGCCGTTACAAAGAAGTTCGCCTGTACTCTAAATAACTTTCTCACCTGACTTTCCTGTCTCTTCTGCTGCAGTTTCTGCTGCAACTCCCGTTGTTGTAGCTCGGCTTTCATTTGCAAGTCTTTCTTTCTCTGAAGTTCTTGCTGTTGTTGCTGGAGTCGAAGAAGAGCTTGCTGCTGCTGTTGCCGTAGTTCGAGCAGTCGCTTCTGCTCGGCTTTCTGTTGCTCCAACTGTTGCCTTTGTTGTTCTTGTTTGCGTAACACTTCCTGCTGTTCTTGTTTTCTTCTCAGCTCTTCTTCTTGTTTTCTTCGCGCTTCTTCCTGATGTTTCTTGGAAAAAAATGATAAGGGAGACTTCAAATCCTGTAATTTTCAGCTCAAGAAGCTTCAACCCTTTCCACCACAAAACCAGTAAGCAAATTATCCCTACTGTAATCTATCCATTTCCAAAGGTGCTTACAAAGAGTATTTTTACCATAATTGGCAATGGTGTCGCAATCTGATTGGCCAATTTGCCGTAATCGATAAGAGTATAGACAACGCTGCCCACTTCAACCTGTCGCGCACTGAAAGAATAGTTTTGAGTGACGTCGATATTGTGTTAAAGAAACCAATCGACAGTGGTTTGGTGTGGTCTGTACTCTTATCGACAACGATAGTCGTCATCACAGTGGTCACAATTTATCACGGACTCACGAGGCGTACAACATTTTTACCTCAGTGATGACAAATATTGTTGTCGATAAGAGTACAGACCACTCTTAACCACTGTCGATTTGTTGATTTAGAATAACCTCGAGATTCTTTAGTTGGTGATCAATTCCAAACCCTTGAACACATTCCTACACCAACCTTTCTGAGTTCTTCTTGTTCTTTTCTTCTTCTCTCGGCTTCCTCCAACTGGCGTCTTTCCTCCTCTTCTTGTTGTTGTTGTTTCTTCAGCATGGCTGCCTCCTGCATGCGTCTCCGTTCTTCTTCCTCTTGCTTCAATCTCATAGCCCTGGCATTAGCTTCTCTTCTTTCCATTTCAAGCTGGATAACAAGTAAGAACATGGTCAGAGATAAGCTCAAAAAAATAAGAAACCAATGCTAACAAATCAACAAAACAACAATTGCCTTACCCTTGCTTGCTTTTCTTTCTCCTCTTCCATTCTTTGAATTTCCTCGAAGGATGGAACATTCTGTTGGCTAAAAAAAAATGGGAGGACATGTTGAAAAAAAAAATGGCAAAAAAAAAAAAATGGCAAAAGAAAAAAAAAAAAAACAGTTCTACCACAGGCTGCTTCATTGTCAAAAAAGTTCATAAAAATTCTTTTCTCGCTCAGGATGATGGTTATGGTTTTAACTTAAGAAAAAAAGAGCATCCGAAAGTGTCATTCTACTCCAAACTGAATAACATCAAGTTATAAAAAATAAATACTGATCAAGTAATAGACCGCACTTCCTATGGAATTACTGGCGTCAACACTCAAGCAGGATGTTGAACACTAGAGAGGTTTGTAAATCACTTGCATCCGACTTGTGATTTTCTAGTGTTCTCCCAACGTCCCAAGGAGGTTATAACGCCAGTAAACCGATAGAAACTGTGATTTATTGCTTTTTAAAATAAACTTCAATTTTTCTGTGGGTTTGCCAGTACTAAAAACGATTAGGTCAATCAGGGCGCTTGTAGTAGGTCATTTTTTTTTTTTTTTTTTAAACCTAATGAGCGCTTTTGATAATATACCTGCAACATCAGCATGTGATGGACTAGAACCCAAACAAGACAGAGAAAAAAGATTTGTGATCGATTTATGCAGCAGAAGCCAAAGAGAAAAGTAAGACACTACGACAATGAGCGCAACTTCACCTATTATCTGTATCCCAGCCTTTTCCAGCTGATGTTGTTGTAACAGGGGACCAAGGACCAGGTGAAATGATGGCTGTAGAAAGAGGAAACTCAATACACTTCTAGGTAATCTCCAAATGTCTTCTTTTTTTTTTTTTTTTCATTTCTTCAGCTTCTTACTTCTTTTTCACTCAAAACACTACACCATGCTCAGAGGTGTTACTAAGATTTATTAAAGGAGGGAGGTGGGGTGGGGGAAGGACCATGATCACCAATTCCTACCACTGGAAAATATTGATACCATAAAGATTTATCTTTTCTGCAAAGTTTTCATCGCCTGAATTAAAAGGTTTAGACGTTGTTGCCTTGAAAAAAGAAGAAGAAGAAGAAAAAAAAACAAAAAAACAAAAAAAAAAAAAACTAGTGTCTTCTTGACGAACTAAGAAAACGTTTTAAGCAATGAAGAGAAAACAGGGAAATGTCAAACTTACAAGGTGAAGCTTGAGGTGGTGTTCCAGTGCCCCAGATTGATTCAGCATGCGGTGACAGAGTTCGAGGTCTTCCTGGTTGAGGTGGCTGTTCCAAGTGACGGACTCCTGCTTGTTTGGTCTGAGGTTGGCCATGCTGCGTGATGGGAGATGAGCTGTTTTGCGTGGGGGAATGTTGAGGTGGAGGTGGCATCTGCTGCATCTGTTGCAGTTGTTGTTGCTGGGAGGAACACACAGAGAGAGAGAGAGATCCCAAGATTACTTTGCATTTCAACATCCTCAGAAATCTCAGTTATCATAGAAGCTGGTAAGATAAATACATTCAAGTCTGCTCAGAATCATGAGGCTCCTCTTAGCCTCCAAGCATTGTTTTTCTGCCCCAAGATGTGAGGGCAGGGGGGGGAGGGTTGCCAGGGTCTGGCTCTAATAAGGAGGATCAGCAGCATTTGATGACTTGTAGACCTTTTGCTGGCTCAAATAAGACTGAAGAACTTGGAGAAAGGCAAGGCTAGAGAGGAAAGAACAAACTCAACCCAAGGGTGTTGGCCAGGTAGGAGATGATACATGGGTCAAAGTGGCGACACAATTCTTGCCATACTGCTATCTCTACTCTGTTTTGTCTGATGTTACTCTACCTGCATCATCATTGCCTGCTGATGGAACAGCTGCTGTTGGAGGTAGTGTTGCTGCATCAGATGTTGGTATTGCTGTTGCTGGGCTAAGATCTGTTGCTGTCTATGGATGTGTTCAGGAACACCCTGCAACACATCAAAGACGAACAGTTCTTTAGCAATTACGATGTACAGCCATAGTGCTGTTTAAGGCATGTTAGGTAGCCTCAGCACAACTACCTGCTGATAAAGTGCCGCTAAAGTCTTTCAACTAAACACCTAAAACTGTAAATGAACTCATGAGCAAACCTGGGAGGCACAAAACATTGAAAGACAATGGTATTCAGTGAATGACACTGGCAAAATCAGAGAAAAGAACTCTGAGTGCTTTCAAAAGGAGTTGAACCTTCGACCTTCCAAATAGTACCTTGGATACTCTTTCAATGAACTTCAGCAAATTCAGAACAAGCTAGGCCGTTTCACTAGGTTCATGTTACAAATTTCCTGCTTAGTACTAGGAAAGGAATGTTCATATGCGATGCTCTTCCTAATGATGATGTAAACTTACTCATTTGATGATGTACACGTTGACCACCTTTCACTTTACAAATGGTGAATAAAATTGTAAAGATTGTAAATTTTAAGCCTAGCTTAAAAAAGTGACACTCTAAATAAATTTTGACTTTCAGTCACATCTTTGTGGGATAAAGAGAAAGCCTCTTACCTTACAGGGTGGTGGCTGGGGGCCAGGGGTGAAGGGCACTCTTCCCCACTGTTTAATAATCTCACCTGCAACATCACAACAAATCCAATAAATTGGAGAGAATCACAGAGAGCTTTGCAATAATAAGCTTATTCACAATACTACTGTACAAAACACAGTCAGATATCCAAATACATCAGACAAACTTTTTATTTTTATTTTTTTAAAACAAAAAAGTGTACACGGTTTACATCTTAGTATAGTAAATGATGTCACAACAGTTGCTTCCAAAAGATACTTTCCCATTTTATGTTAATAATATTTATCAATGCATATATTTTTGCAAACATAGCAGCAATAACATTTGTCCTCACAGAAGCACATTCCTCACCAAGTGGTTGGAAAATCTCGTCAATAGTTCGCTTGACCAACAGTCCCATGGTGAAGTAGCCATGACTAAACCAATCTGCCATCTCAGAGTTTGAAAATGGACCTGTTTAAAAAATGCCTTTGTTAATGTTTGGGTGGCACTAACTTGCACAAACAGTACTGCTCAAAAGTAAATTGACATTCCCTTGAAACTTGATCCTCAATTCTCAAATACTTTGAGAATCAAGGCTTGTCTCAAGTTTGAAATTGCTGCAAGCATGACCCTTTTCAGCATCTCCTGCCTGATTGCTGTTCATAATTCACAGCCTGCCTCAAAGAAACAGAACTACATGACACACTCTCTGTACCACCTTGTTTCTGACTGGAAAAGCATCTAACTTACCTTGCACTTTACCCTGTGGATCAGTATAACTCCACTGTACTTCTTCTGTGGTTGTTGGTGAACTGCGATATTCCTGCTTCTGCTGAGTAGTTGGCTGTTTCTCTTCTTTTAAATCCTCCTGTTGAAAGCATATTCCAATCCTAAAGGATCTGAAGTCTTTATTTTTTTTTTTTTAACAGACATGCCTTACCCATGACTAAAATTTTTTTTTTCAGTAACATTTCAATGAGGATCTTTATTATTCTTATGGTCTCCAATATTGGGAAAATTAACCACTACCATTAAAATGTTATAACATTAAAATGGACAATTAAATTCAAAAGGTCCCTCTTTTGTGCGCATTTGATCATATTATATGCGCATTTGATCATATGTAAATGGCATTTGCACACTACAAATATTAAACTATTATTATTATTGTGTGTTCTCTATGCAGAGAGCAACAAATGTATTGTTAAAGATTCTATGACATGAAATCAAGTCTTGACAACAGCCTAAACCATCCTATTATCACTGTGCATTTTCTTCAAACAGTTCTCTTGACATTTCCTATAGAACTAAAATGGAGAATAAAGGAAATGATCACCAGTTTGAGAGGCAAGCTGATTGTCAAACAAATTCTCCTTGTTGATACTATAGGAAATGAAAAAGAAAAGTGTAGAGAATTTCAATGCCAATAATTGGGTGAACAGGGTTAGGGGCTCAAAATTGTCAACCTACCTCTTCATCGTCATCCAAAGAGGCTACAAGATTTTCAGCTGCTTGCGCAAAATGGTCCATGTTGGGCTCGTCTTCTTTCAGACTGCCAGCATCTTGTTCCAGCATTTTTGAGGACATGGTAATGTGAGCTTGTGGAGGTACGTGAGCGAATGGATTGTTAGGTGCATTAGATGGGGCAGAATCAAGTGTTCTTTGCTGTGAAGTGGACGAGGGAGATGGAGATTGGGGTGGAGTAGTTGTAGTGGTGGGAGAAGGTTTGAATACGTCTGCTGTTTGATGTGTAGAAGGTGGTTTCGCAACTGGTGGTTGTTGTTGTTCTGTTTCTGGTGGTTTTCCTTCTCTGGCAGGTATTGTTCCTAATACTGGCATTAAAGAAAGAGGTTAATCACAACCTACATAGCATGGGGAGGCAACTAATTGTTTTGAAACAAAGGGGCACGAAAGTAAATGTTTAACACTATGCCAAGAGCACAGCCCTACTCAAAATTTCTATACGTCCTTCAAAGCTTCCAACATTATTACAATTATTATAAATTATTATAAAGAGGTGGATTATTTCTAGTAGCAATATACAGTTTACACAACATGACAGACCTGAATCCAATTGTTTTGTCTGATCTGTGTCCTTTTCCTCATCATCCCACACATCTGGTGGTTCCTGGTCACTACTTTCAGACTATTTAGAACAGAAGCATGCGAGCATTGAAAGTCAAGACGAAGAGAATTGCACCCCAGTAAACTATAACAGGAATTCTATTCTCATAACTGATCAATGGAGGTTTTGCACAGCAGCCATGTTGGATGGCAGGAACAATGAAAATATTTTGCATAAGAAAGAAATTTTTTCCCAGGGGAAAAATAATCTATTGTTCCTGCCTTCCAACATGGCTGCTGTGCAAAACCTTTACACTAAGACAAAAGTCTGTTTATGAGCCAAGTGGCCCATTAGGCCAATGCTTAACTCTGGTTTCCATAGCATGAAGAAACTAGGAGTATTTCAACCCCTCCCCCTCCCCCTCCCCCCCCTGGATGGGATGATAGTCCATGGCAGGGTTACCCTCCAGCATCAAATTCATTGGTTCCCACTTCAACACCTGGGTGAAGAGAGGTACTGCAAGAGTAAAATGTCTTGCCCAAAAATACAACACAATGTCCCTGGCCAGGGCTCAAACCCAGATTGCTTGATCTGGAGTCAAGGCCACCAGGCCACTCAAGCCAACTGGCCCACCCAGCCCAAGCTCATCCCAGTTTCCAACACATGAAGTGACCAGAAGTATAACTACTCCCCCTTGGATGGGATGCTAGTCCATCACAAGGTTACCACCCTCAGTATTTCATCAGGTTTCCCTGACAATTCACTGGTACCCATTTACACTCCTGGGGAGAGAGAGAGGCACACTGAGAGTAAAGCAGTGTTCATACCCTTTTTCAGAAACATATTTCAAGGACTTTTCCAGGCTCAAATTGATTTTGCCAGGACTCCAAATTTCACCTTAAAACCTTTTATTCCCAGGACTTCAAAATCAATTCTCCTCCTTACAGTCTACACATTTCTTAGAACGTAAATTCTGAAAACTTTATTGCTTGATTTACGCAAATTTCCAGGACTACCCACACCCTGCAGTCTTTTTCCAGGACTTTCCAGTCCTGGAAAATATCAAAATAAAATCCCAGGACTTTCCAGGTTTTTCAGGACCTGTACAAACCCTGATAAAGTGATTTCCCAGGAACACAACAAAATGAACCAGCCAGGACAAGATCTCCAAACTTCTTGACTACAGTCCAGAGCATTGACCTTTAGGCCAACATGTCTTTCCTAATAAATTACCTCTGAGTAAATGATTATAATTGAAGTAATAGGGTAGTAAAAGAGGCAACATAAAAAAAAACAAAAAAAAACAATGGGTTGAGTTTAAGTACATTCTTTTTGATCATCTTACCTGATTTCTCATATTTTTCTCTCTATTTTCTTTATTTTCTTCATATTTTCTCTCATCTTTACTTTGGCTGTCCTCATCGTTTTGCTGACAAAACAAGACAAAACAAGGTACTTCAGAGAGGTGGTTCACAATGACATGTAAACAAACCAAATCAAACAGCAATCACTGAATGCTAAAACCTCAGGGATTTCCCATCATTGTGTGTCATCTAAATTTTCATACAATGCATTAATTACTGGGGTGCCTATGTGATGTGCTATCCTACCTATGGTGCGATTTTTCCCCCCTTCAGGTACCCAATAACACATTGTGTATGTCAAACTTTTAGAAGGTTCAGTTGAACTCCAAGCACATTGAAAGTGCATTATATTAGCTAGGAAACTTCCAAGGTAATACAGTTTAGCACACAGCATAGATGATGGTAAAAGCACTCAAAGAGTTAAATAGCATGAAGAATCACTATTTATGAGATGGAAAGGACATGAAAGGCTACCTTAGACACAAACGCGCCTGTAGAATCAAAGGTGCCAGGAGTTGTGAAATCATCATTATCTTCATTACTCCATTCCGGGAGCCTTTCATAAGATGAGCCCCACCTAACGTCTTCATTATCATGATAAGACCGACGACTGCCGCCAGCTGTTTGCCACTCATCCTCAGGATGACCTCGTTCTCTATAGGAGTCTGTTCCGCCTCTCCAGGTTGCACGACCTCTTGGTGGACCACCTTCAGAACAATACAAGAAACATTTTGATTTTTCTGATTCAGATTCTGATTGAGTTTGAGCTTCCACAACCCACTCCTACCCTGTGTTCCCACTCATTACTAAGCTACAGGGGAATCCTTGTTCACAATATTTGCCACATTAGCATAAGCAATTCAGTTTCTGATCGAGCTAAAAATAAATCAGTTCTGAATATCGAAAGGTCAAAGTACGATCAACTCGGCCAATGAATACGAGCCTGATGCATTGAATACTTTTTGTGCAACACAGGTTTAAAAACTCAAAATTTTACATAGAATGTATGAGCTCATTAGCGCTTTTGCCACCCAGAAATTTTGCAGTTTTTGATGGACTATTTCTAATTGAATATTACACCCAAAGAGCTAAAAATTTCACCATCCACTAAGGTTTTTTTGCTCTTTAGCTGCCTGAAGTCAATTTGTATCTAACATGCTTCCTTCTTTACGCAAAGCCGTATGCAAATGAGCAAAAATGTAAACAATGACGTCAGCATGAATCCGCCTATACAAAACTCTAATAACTTGCTAATCATAACCTGCAAGTGAAACAGATAGTACTGACAAACAGATAGACAAACAGATAATACTGTTTGTCTGCTGTGTCGTTTTCTGTTTCACAGGTGGGTAAATGATTAACCCTTTCACACCCACATGTGATAAACAGCTAACCTCTCCATACATTATCCAGCAAACAGGTAATGAGAATATCTACTTGAACTTATCTTGATCTAACACCATGTTCTCGTCACTAATTTACAAAGAAATGTGTAGCAGCCAGAGGGGAGAACTAGCAATCAGATCTTGGAAGTTGATCAGTTAGCTGAGAACCCTCAAAACAAAAAAATGCAAGTGACTGAAACAAGAAATCATTGACAAGCCCCACCCAGGTAATGAAAAAAATGACAAGCACCTTCTACAGTCAGCCAGCCACTAAAGATTTTCGTTTCCTAAATCCTTAGAAATAATGAAGAAATATAAAAGATTAAAACTGCTTTTTATGCTCTTCCATCAATCACCTCCTCTCCATTTGTCAGATCTGTCAGAGGACCGCTGTCCAGAAATTCTCCAGCCATCATCATCATCACCAGATCTCCAATTGCCACTGTCCGATCTCCTCTCTCCACGTTCCCAAGATGTGTCACTCGAGAGCCGAGGTCGAGCTAAAGACGGATCATAGCCTCCTCTGCTGGGACCAGATGGACCTAAAATAACCAGGTGGAATAAATATCCAAAATCAGTGATGCACACACACGAAAAAACTGTTTTATTGTTTACTGTTGATCTTTGAATGATCCCTCCCCAAGTCAAGAGAAGTAAAAATCACAGATTTATAGTAGAGAAACAGTACTTCAGGTTGCAGATGATTCAATATTGTGACTTTCTCATTTCAAAACTTTGATAAGAACAGCGCCCTTATCCAGATGAAAAATGAAAGAAAAATGTACAGCCAGTTTTGAATTGACTCAATTTAATTGCAAAAGGCCATCAGGAAATCATTATTGATACTCTTTAACAGTTTCCACTGTCAGATGACAAAAATACCAAACCTGATTCTCTAAGGCTTGGCGATCTTTCAAAGCTTCCACGACTAAAATATAAATAGAGCAATTGTTACAATTGTAGAAGCCTTGCACATGGCTACAACCCACCGGAGAACAACCTGTAACTGCTTGACATTCTAAACATATAATTATAGGCTCTTAACAAGTTCTTAATCTACTTGAATTGATTCACTACAAGTTGTGGAACACAACTTTCCTTTCATGTATTTTTAAAGGTCATCATGGTGGAATGCAGAGAAAAAGAGGTTCACCAAGCAATGTTCCAACCTGTTCTCACTCCATCCCTGCCTGCGGGTGTCACTGCCTCGACCAAAGCCTCCCCCACCCTCTCCTCTGGTGTCTTCATAAGATGTTTGTCTCACAAATCCCCCATCCCCCCTGCCACGACCTGAGAGAGAGGAAAATAAAGAAAAATATCATTATTACACAGTACCCTCAGCCTTAAGGGCGACATCTCTAAAGTGAAGGAGTGAACCATGTTTGTTCAGTGTTATGGGAAATTTATAATGCAACAATTCAAGACCCTTACTGCAAGTATGTTGAGAACTTTATTGGACAGGGCCCCGAGTTTATTTTTTCAAAACATCACCTTTAGGTCACCTTCAGTTGTAAAATAGTTGCCATTAAAAAAATTTTTTGCATCTGGAAGTTATGAAACAAAGAGAGAGAAATAGAGAAAGATATGAGATACTGGTGTCTGTTTGTTTGTTTGATAATTTGATCAAAGATCAATAGTTTTTTTCAAGTCTCCCTTTTTTTGTTAAAATTTTAGCCACTAAATTTATTGTTCACTTGCCACAGCAACCAAAATGGTTGTGGCTTGGAGTGCTGTTAGAGAGCTTCAGTTTGAACTCAGAATTTTGTGGGAAGAAAGGAGGGCTTCTAAAGGAGATCCCATTTCAGGTACAATCCCAAGCCAGTTGAAATACAAACCCCATTACCTCTAATACCACCCCGCCCTGGTCCTCTTGGCGGGCCAACTCCTCGCATCGCACCACGACCCATCAACTTCAAGACAGCATTACTGTTAACAGACCCAGCAGAGTTTCTCTGAAAAAAATAAAATAACTAGATATATTTTAAATGACAAAAATGGATCTAATATCACCAGAGTTGAGTTAAACAAAATCCTTAGCATCTTCAAGCCTCATTTACTACAATAAACACAAGTTACAATACTTACAGTACATATCTAGAAAATGAGGATGGCGAGATATTTATTTCATCTCTGGGTTCAAATAGAGGGAAAAGATTTCAATCCAAACAAACTTTTGAATTTAGCTAGTTGTATGGCAAAGAAAGCAAGGCCCACTATATTGAACAATCATAGTTCATGTTCTGAGAAATAAAATAATGCTCTATAAGCATATAGAGAGGTGATGAAAAGAAAGAAGAATAACACCTTGGCCTTATTCTTTTGAGTTATCACCAAATTCTCAATGCCAAAATTTTATGTATGGTAGCCAGTGCAGGGAATTGATGATCAGATTCAAGAGGTAATGAAAGGGTTAAAATGTTATTATCAGCACCTGTTCCTCTTCTGTAAACTGCTGAAAAGCTAAGGGAAGAGCAGGTCTACTTCTGCAGATTGATTCAAATAACTGCAACTCTGGGGGCATCATGACATCCTCACTAAACAGGGCTAGCATCTCCTCCTTGCCGTACCGGTGTTCCGCAAGTTTGTACTTTGGCCCAGGGGAGGGAGGAGGGGAGGTGACGCTGTTACCACTGGACAGGGCACGTAGCCTGCAATGAGAAATTTCAAGGACGTTCATAAGTCAGTGCTTTCAATAAGACCCAGCACCTGCCAGAGCTCTGGCGGGTATTCTGTTGTGAGTCGCCAGGTATAATTCACTGTGCTCAAGTCGCGGTCACCACGCTCAAGTTGCACTCAAGTCACTCTCCGGCGGGTGCTGTACCGAGGTAGCAACCTATTTCAAATCTTAGTGAAAGCAGTGTAAGTGCAAAGGTAGCACATTCATGTATAGTGATAAAGATAATAATGGTAATACCATGTTCAGGAGTAAGTGAACTAGTTTGGTCACTAAGCCTATGCGTCACATTACAGGTGCAACTAATACCCCTGTACTTTTAAAATCTATTATATAGTGCTGGACGGTGAATTCGCAAGTGGATGCTAATTTACACTGTTTCAAAGTGAATATGTCAAAAAAATAAAACAAATCATAGAAGTTATTAAAGCTGTGAACATCCAAAGGCAAACTGCTAAGGTCATTTTGGTGACTTGTTGATTGCACCTTCCTGCTTTTAGAAGCCACTCTGTTCATGTGTCGGTTTGGGTAATTGTTGATATAATCAGTATCGTGTCCATGAGATACTGGTCAGCAGATAGTGAGGCACAACCCATGTGCATGTTCAAGTAATCAGTTTGGTATCTGCCATTAAAACAAATGAGCTGTTTATCTTCATTTCTGAGTGCTCTTCACTGCCTAATAGCAGCGCTTATCAACAGTAATGAAGGATTCATAATAGAGATAGCCTCACTTCTTTCAAAGAACAAAACATGAAAACTGGACCTTGCAAACTTCACAAATCAAATTAAAATTAAAGAAACTCAAAAAGATCATCAAGATACAGATATAAGTATAACTAAAGAGTAATAGAAATACACTTACATAAAATTATAAATGTAATGTTACTGGTAAGCTAATTTTATAGTGCAAGTCACACATATCTATATAGATTTTATCATTGGCACACTCTTATTTTCATTAAAAGAAAAAAAACTTTTAAGTTGTCAAGGTAAAAAAAAACCAAGAAAGGTATCAAGATGACTGCAGTCCAACTTCTACTTCACTGTAATGACCTTTTAGATAGTAATTACTTCTCCACATTATGAACAAACCATCTCGTTTCCAAGGGGGTGGGGAGAGGGGCAAAACCACTTTTCTTCTCTTATCGTATTTTTTTTTTCCAACTGTTTCCTTTGGAAATAAATTATTTTTTGCCTTGTCAAAAATCAGTTCAAACCAGAGAGCTGAAAATGTTTTCCTATACGCCAACTTTCCTGAGGAATAGATAAGTCTCTCCCTTATAAAAAGTGCATAAATTTAACATCATTTCTCAGTTGCTATAACGTAACCTGAACAGTCGGTTGTCTGAAAAAAAGTTCCATGTTTTTTTTATACGAAGCTAGCACTTGCATAACATCCAGGAGAAACTTCATATATAAATATAAACCAAGTACGTAAATAGTCTGAAGAAATGGTGTCTCCCATTATTCACAGTACATCAAAGCGCGTAACGCCTTGGAGTATCAGCTGATTACAGTCGTGAATGCTTAAGTCTAAGAGCGTTGTGCTCACTACGTTTAAAATTGCAGTGGTGACTTAAAAAAAAAAAAAAAAAAAAAAAAAACATCTATCAAAGCAAGAGGAAAGTTGTTACAATTGCTAATAATACAATTAACATATCATCGTATTTTCCGCTTACCACTCGGGTCCAAACGTTAGAGCTTCCGACATACTGATCCCTACGAACAGCAAAACAAATGAACAAACGTAAGATTAAACGGAGATAAAGGAGATTTTTCTGTCAGTCAAATTAATTTAAGATAGAAGTCATTTTGACAAGCACGGTAGCATAAGGTTTCACTGCATGATGAACTTTACTAAAATAGATGAAGTAAAAACATATGTACGCTTAAATGAATTAAAAATTCACAGTGTCTCGGAAGTACGCGAAAGGAGAAGAGTCCCGATTGCTTCGCCCGCAGGCTAGACAGGCTAAACCTCAGACGAGGCTAGGGGACAGGGAGAAAAAGCAAGGAGCAAACTTTCGCACTGCAATAATAGTACCTTCAAATATTGTCTCGTAGCTCTGCTAGAGCTTTGCAAATTCCTGTGTTCAAGTAAAGGTGAGAGAAAAATGGCGAACCTCGAAATTTACAAGTTTGATCACGTGGTTAGCTTTCCATCTTTGCCACATCGAGCATAATTTTACCAATAACACAGCTGATCAACACAAATGCGGGCTTTGAATATTTACGTTGTCAGCGGATGTCCCCATTGGTCAAAAGGGGAAAGGAATGAAGAGCTCACAATTACCACTTTAACTTAAAGTTTCTTTCCTTCGATATTTCCACCGATCTGCCCTCGAAAGGCGTAATTGTGGCAATGAAGAACTACCTTATGTTATGTTTGGTTTTACTCCTTCTCTATCTTTGCTTGGATGCTCTAGAACCCGATGAAGATCCGTACAAGATTTTGGGTGTTACTCGCTCTGCAAGCCAGGCAGACATAAAAAGAGCTTACAAGAAAATGGCAAGGAATTGGTAAATGAAGATAAATGTTCAAACATGTCTGTTTTTGAATGTAAGTTGTTGAATTTCTAAAAAAAACGTGCCGATATGATTATCCAATCAATGTGTTTATTTAGCTGAAAGCATTTGTTATTATTTTTATTTTCAATCCACGCGCGTAGGGAAATCACAATTTCAAACTACACAAAAGAGTGCAGGTGGGAGCGTTAAATAAGCGCCAGGGACGCTATCCGAGGGATGCACCTCAACAAGTTACAGATAACTGAGATACAGAAACAAAGGAAATATTTAACTTAATAAAAAGCTTTGGAATCAAGAACTGTGGGCTTCATTTAATAACATAATAAATGAATACTAAATAAGATCACCTGATTTTTTTTTAGTTTATGTATAACTGATGCAGTAATTGTATTGATTACAGGGCTCAATACTAACTTTTCAACTTACTAACCAAGCGGCTAGTGACGACGCAGATGTTACAAGAATTTCAGTTTGTTTACTAGCCAAACTGGTTAGTAGAAATTGAAAACCACTTTGCCAAAACTGAATTTTTACTAGTCTGGCTAGTTGGCTACTGTTAGTGTCAAGCCTTGGATTACAATTTTGATGCTGAGGAGTAATCCTACCTTAAAAAAAATAATTCTGTCTCTAGGCACCCAGACAAGAATAACGACCCCACAGCACAGGAAATGTTCATCAAAATCAATGAAGCTAATGAGGTGAGGATGTAATTCTCCCCTCTTTGTTTGCCATACAATTCTATGATGTTAGTTCAATTTCTTCAATTTAAAGGGGATGATTTGTACACCAAAATTATACAATAAGAAAACAAAGGTCACTGTCCTCATTCTTTTCCTTTTGGTGCTCACAAGAGGAATTTGCGTAACGATCAAGAGCTTCCGTAGTTAGTGATATTTTCCTATTATTCTCCTGACCTTAATGTCTGATTCAAGGGTGATATTGTAAGGAGAAATTAGATGCTGGTCACTCTGAAGGGTTTAAGTGTTAAGATATTTTGATATCACACAGAGAAAAAGAATTGTATACCTAGAGCTGTGTGTTCGCTATATTATTTTACAATTTTATTGTTACATAAGCTATGTGTTACATGTAGGACAGCACATTTAGGTTATTCCTACTTGTGAGAACAACGCATGTTTTTGAAGTTTGGAATAAAAGTTAGTCTTTTGTGAACACAGGACTGGTGTTTACTTCCATACTGTATCCCTACTCTGATCACTGTGTTTTTTATTTTCAGATTTTGTCAGATGAAGAGAAGAAAAGGAATTTTGATATGTTGGGAACTACCTCGCAGCCAGGCAATGGTCGACCACAAGGCAAACCATTTTATGATCCACACAGTGGGTTTAGCTTCTTCTTCAATGGAATGCCTTTTCAAAACTCTTGGTCAAAACCAGGACAGATTAACTACAGGTCGTACTACAAGGCAATCCTACCAGCGAGTCATGAGAGGCCCTACTTGATCGAAATTATTTCGGACTGGTGTTTTGCTTGTAAGTAAAATTAATTATAATGTCAAGATACAGTGGGTGACAAATCTCAACATGTCATGGTAACAACTCACTGCTGCAAAGAATCTCCCCATATGACGTGGAAGATTTTCTTGATTAATGTGGCTCTAGTTTGAAAACATGTGAATTTGTCTGGCTGATTGTGGCAATGAAATTCTGTCGCACAGAAAAGATTTTCAAGAAAATTCCTGGTGTCCTGAGGCAAACTTTCTTTGCTACTTCTTCCTTGTGTTGTATAGCAGCAACTTTTTTTGTAGCCAGTAGACAAACTGCAGCTTGTCTCACATTGACCTGTCACCTAGTATCTGGACTTAAACCCTCTCACTTACAAGGTCTCATCAGTATTTCTCCCTACTGTCTGCTATACAATAGTTATGATATTGTGTGGAGAACTTGGCATTAGATCAACTAATAATCCCCAAATTGATACTTTTCTTTTTTCTCATCACTCGTCTGCTTGATTCTGTGTTGATATTGTAAGGAGAAATTCTGTCTTGGTCACTCATGGGAGTTAAATTGTTAAATGTGTGATCAAATGATAGTTATGCAATGGTGAGGGATGCAGATTAAAAAAAAGCATGTGATTTTTATTTCAAAAACAAGAAAGCAGACAATTTTTTTTTGAGATTGCAATAGAAAATTATGATTTGTGCAAACATCACTGCAAATGGAACAATTGTCCCTGAACAGCAGATTTCAAAGTAGATAGATTCTAGAGTGTGTCAGTACAAGAATTCAGAACTGTGATAGAATTACTTTCTTTGTCAGAGGGTGAATTAGTGTCACAAGATGTGCATTTCTCTGCCCATGGAAGATTTAGCCCTTTAACTTTCAAGATTGGATTGTTAATTCGTCCCTATTAGCTCCTTTACATTTCCTTGTAAATCAGTTTCAAGATCAAGATTACAACTTCTACCTGATTAGTTTGAGTAAATTCTCATCACCTGTTTGCTGGGTTAGGTATGGATATTATAACTTGAGAAGTTACATGTTGATCACTTCAGGGGGTTTAAGGATTGAGACAAGATAGGGAGAGGTTTATGGCAGCCTAGCTTCATTTTCACTACCAGATCCCTACGTAGACCTCTTGCTGCCTCATGTTACTCAAGCACTGATACTTTTTAATGATGGCCTGTTGGCAGGCCACAAAACGATTTTCTCTGAAAATCAAACCAGATCTAAATACATTGTAGACTCAAATGATGTAAGTTTGTGCTTTCATTTTAAATAATTTTTAAATCAAAGGTGCACAAATTGAGGAGATATGGGAAGAAGCATCCAATAGCGTAAAGAAAGTCGGTGTGGGAATTGGCATAATCAATATCAACAGGAGTCCACGTCTTGCAGATGCACTGGGTGTAGGAAGGGTGCCCTCTATCATTGGTGTTATCAATGGGAGAGTTATGTTCTACACTGAAATGGTTACTGTGCAGGGTTTGAAGGATTTTGTACTGGGGTTATTTCCACATGGCTTAATTGAAAAGGTAACTTTTGTTTCACGTATTGATAATGTGCAGAGAAAGTCCTAACTCTTTAGTCTCCTTGTTGCATTCCCAGTGCGCCAGACACATGTGCTGTGCACCAGAGTTCAACAGGTCAACCACCATGAAATGTGAGGATAGGGAGAAAGATTTCAAACTTGTTTATTCACACAGCACATGGGGTGGAAACTAAAGAAATACAGTGTCTCAAAATAAGGGAAACTGAAGAGGCTACAAATTGAACAAGGGCACAAACAAAAAGAAAACAACAGGCATGAATTACATTGGATTTCCCTCTGGGGAATAGTGAACACCTAGCTGTAGAAAACTCTGAACTCTGTTAAGTTTATTCCTTACTGTACAAGCATCTACTGAAAATTAAACTAAACTAAGAATGCATGGTAAGGGAATTTAGTTAGTAAAAGTGTTTTCATAGAGGAAAAAAAATGGTGATTTTTTACTGCTAGCCACAAATGGAAATTCTATAATCTATGAATCAATGAATTGGTGTCTTTGTAATAAAAAAGGGGGGAAAGGTTCTTAGTGTAAAATTGACAGTTCATCTCCATAAATGTGACAGCGAAAGGATTAAACTTATACACCCTAACATGTGAAGGCATATTCACGATAATGCTCTTCATGCATTTGTGGTGACAAAGAGAATTTGTTTAACAATCAAGAGCTTCCCTAGCTGGTGATCAGTTCCTTTATTCTCCTGACCTTAATGTCTGCTTTATTGGTGTTATTGTGAGGAGAAATTAGATGCTGGTCACTCAGTAAAATTTCAGAATCTAAGGAATGATAGTGCAAGTATTAGCTCAAAAAAAGAAAAAAAAAAAAAAAACAGTGTACACCTTTTGAGTTCCGGATTATTTTATTCTTTAGATTTCAAAGCTATAATATTTGGGGTTTCCTTTATAAATGCAGCAAACAGGAATCAGCTTTCTAGGACCAGTTAGTACCAGGGGCCTGTTTCTCAATAGTCCCAGTAACTTAACAGGCACATAAAGCTGTTGTGTTTTCATTCAAGATGGGGATTTCAAAAGTTTTGAAAATGATACAATAAAATTATCACCAAAAGAAACAAAAAGGGTTGGTTTGGGTACCAGAACCTGCTTTCCTATCCTATAAATTTTGATTTTAAAACATGGCTTCATGCCTGCTAAGTTACCAGGACTTTTGAGAAACAGGCCCCAGGACTCATAAGAAAGGGACTCCTAAAAAAAGAAAGGGACTCCTAATCTTTTCATTAACAGTTTGGATTTATGTATGTTGCACGATCCTGGCAGTAGAGAGTGCTATTTATGCAATAGCAAAAATTAGACCTGAAAAAAATCAGGCCTGTATGGGATTCGAACCACTGACCTCTGCGATACTAGTGCAGCGCTCTACCAACTGAGCTAACAAAACAACTGGGAGCAGGTCGTTAGGTTGATTCCTAATAAACCCGTGATGATAAATCAGATACAGTGTATATATGAGGTTCATATATTTTGAACTGCGGTATTAGATAAGTATGATGCATGATCCTCGCAGTAGAGAGCGCTATTTATGTAATAGCGAAAATCAGACCTGAAAAAAAAAAATCAGGCTTGTACGGGACTCGAACCACTAATTGCATAAATAGCGCTATCTACTGCGAGGATCGTGCATCATACGTATCTAATACCGCAGTTCAAAATATATGAACTTCATATATCCATTGCATCTGATTTATCACTTTCACGGGTTTATTACGAATCAAAATATATGAACTTCATATATCCATTGCAACCAAACGAAGTAATGTATTTAGTCCACCAAGATCTCAATTTTAAGAAGTGAAATTAATTTTTTAGCCCTTTACATTACTCCTTCGTCAAGTTTTTGTATACAACAATGTGTTGGAAAGGTTGCTTGTTTTTACTCACGGCAAAAGGATCAGCCTGTTCCCAAGAGATCGGGGCTCCCCAAGATGCCGGCCTCACCCGTTCAGGAAGAGATTCGGGAACAGCAACTAAGATGAACAGCAGATCTGAAGCCGCCACAAATGTAGCAAGCGCCACAACAGCTCTGCCGTCATACATTCTGCTTAAATAAGCTCCAAGTGCTGGACTTATAATGAGACTGGCCGCAAATGTAGCAGAAACCTGGGAGCAAAACAGACAGATTTTACTACAACTGTAACAGTGGAGGTAATATGTAAACTCATCATTTTAACCGTATAGTTTGGTTTGTTATTCGATATTTCTGGGGTTTGAGAGTTGCCAGTCAGTACTGGAATTGTTTGAAAGGACTTGGTTCCTGACTGGTGAATAGGAATAATGAAGGGCCGTTTTCAAATCATTGTGCATCATTGCCAAAATTTGCCGTGCATTTACAAAAACGTTTGATGACAACAATGGCGAATGGCTTCGGGGG